GCAGTGTCATAAAAATCTGGAGGAGAGTTGTCCAGGAACAGAGGGTGATTAAACATCAGCAGTTGCTGAAGCCTGAGAAGGATCAGAACTGAGAAAAGACCATCAAATTTGGCATTTGTGAGATCACCGATAATTTTGAGAAAGCAGCTTTAGTTGAATAAGGTAGTTAGAAATCAGATTGCAAAGTATTGAGAAGAGAGTAAGAGGGGAGGAAGTGAAGACAAAACATTTAGTTGGCTTTTTCTATGAATTTTATTAAGATGGAGGATAATATAGGATGATACTTTGAAGAAATGATAGGGTCTAGAGAGGTGTGGGGGTTTTTTTGTTGTTTTTTGGTTGTTTTTTTTTGTTTATTCTTTCTGTTTTTTTTCCTTTTGTTCTGATTCTTCTTTTACAAATGACTCATGTAGAATTATATTTAATATGACTGTACATGTATAACATACATCAGATTGCTTGCTGTCTCGGAGAGGTGGGGGGGGAGGGAGAAAACCCGGAAATCAAAAACTTATAAAAGTGAATGTTGAAAACTATCTTTACATGTAATTGGGAAAAAATGCCAATAATTGGGGAGAGAAAAAAAGAAAGAGCAATTGAGCGCATGGGAAGTGATGTGATCACTAAGATAATACAGAACCAAAAGAGAAAGGGGACCAGAACAGAGCCTTGAGGGACAGCCAGAGTTGGTGTCCTATACAACCTGTGTCTTTCCCTTTGTGCACTAAGAAAATTAAATGGATTGTGGTATTTATCCAGAAATTTCCACCTCAGAAAAAATTTTCTGTAGTCAATGAAAATGTTACTTTTAGTCACTTGAGATACTTCTTTCTTTTTTTAAAAAATTAATTAATTTATTTTTAGTTTTCATTTTGGTTGATTTTTTAAGGATGAGGATACTTGGACACTTCTGTAAGCAACAGGAAAGGAAGCAATAGGTAGAGAAATATTAAAGAAGAGGGAAAAAGACGAGATGTTATGGGGGAAGTTGCTGGAGAAGATGGGGGGAGTTATTAAAGGTATGGGTAAAGGGGTTGGCTTTGGCATGGAAAAGGACCGACCACCTCTTCATCAGAGACTGCAGTGATGAATGGTGGAGAAGAGAATGAAGAGACGATGTCAGAGTTGAGATGTAGAGTAGGGGAGAAGAGGGAGCTTCCATCCAATGGCCTCTTTTATTGTATGTTTTGTACACGAAATTGTGACCTAATAATACATAGTTTTAAAAGTGTATATTAAATTTAACACAACACACTTGGTAAACAGAAGGTTAGTATAGTCATTGGGACACTAATTCACTAGTGGTGGAATTGTGAACTAGTCTAACCATTTTGGAGAGCAATCTGGATTTATGCCCAAAGAGTAATTATTAAACTGTCTCTACCCTTTGACCCAATATTACCACTACTAGGTCTATTTCCCAAGATGATTAAGGAAAAAAAAAAGAAAAGAACCAATATGTTCTAAAATATTTGTAGCAGCTGTCTTTGGGGTGGCAAAGAACTAGAAATTGTAGGGATGCCTGTCAGTTGGGGAATGGCTGAACAAACTGTGGTATATGAGTGTGATGGAATACTACTGTGATATAAGAAATGATGAGCTTGATCTTAGAAAAACATGGATAGACTTTCAAGAAATAATGAAGAGTGAAGTGAGCAGAACCAAGAGAACGTTGTACACAGTAACTGCAATATTTATTTAAGAACAATGTTGAGTGAATAAGTCATTCTAACTATTATAAATTCCCAAAATAACTACAACGGACCTGTGAAAGAAGATACTATCAGCATCCAGAGAAAGAATTGATAAATAGAAGTATATATAAAATTGTTTTACATATACATGTGTATTTGTGTCTAATGGTAGCTATCTCTAGGGCTCCCTAGGGCAGGAAGGGGAAAAAAGAAAGTTATATGATAACTTTATTATATATTTTAAAAGGATAATAGAATGTATATAATAGATGCAGTTTCATGAGCAATCATCTTTTTTAAAAATTCTACTATGATATGGAAATGTTTGTTTTATTTCTTAAGTTCAGGATAAAAATAAATTAAAATTATTACTGTGAAACAAAATAAATTTAACAGAATGTTTAAAAAAAACTTCTTTGAACTTTCTTGCTTGTCTGTGGCCCTTTCTAAATTACCTTCTGTGCTCTTTGTATTTTTAAATGTTCCATTGATATTCTTTTATTTTTGCTTTATTACTCCTTCCCATGAGCTATCTCCTGTAACAGTATGATATGGTGTAAGTATGGTAAAATACAGCAAATTCACACATTGGTACTATCTTAAGATGTATGTCTCGTTCTTCATCTATAGTTCATGATGTATTTACCAAGATGTAGGACAGCTCTTTTATCATCAGGGTTTAGAAGTCTTGCTTGATCATTGTGTAGATCAGAGTTCTTAAGTTGTTTTCATTACATTTTTGTATTCACTGTATATATTGTCCTCCTAGTTCTACTTACTTTCCTCTACATTGGTTCATACAAGTCTTCCTAGGTTTTTCTAAATCCATCTCTTTCATAATTTCCTATAGTACAGTAATATTTCATTATATTGCTATTCTGTAATTTGGTCAGCCATTTTCCAATTGGTGGGCACTCACTATATTTCCACTATTTTGCTACAACAAAAAGTTCAGCTTTAAATATTTTTGCACATAGGAGTCCTTTGTCTCTGTCTTCAAACTTTTTGCAGGATATGTCTAGTAGAGAGGCGTTGCTTAAGTCAAAGGGTTGCACAGATAAGTAATGGGAGGGGTTATGACTGCAAATTGCTTTGCCAATTGGTTGGAACAATTCACAGCTCCATTCACAGTGTATTACTGTGCCTATATTCCCAGGATCTCTCCAACAAGTGCTATTTTCCCCTTTTGTTAACGTTTGACAATTTGATGAGTGTGAAGTGAAACCTCAGAGTTATTTTAATTTACATTTATCTTATTTGATACTTGGAGCATTTTCCCTGTATGATTATTGATAACTTGCATTTCTTCTTTATGAAGTGCCTGTTCACAAATCATTTGACATTTGTCTTCTTAGGAATGTTTTTTGTTCATATATATGTATCTATTCTATATGTATATTAAATATGACCTTAACTAGAAAAATGTGTTGCAAAGATTTTTGTCCATTAAGCATTTTGCTTTTGTTTATACAAAGGCTTTTCAGTTTTAGGTAATCACAAGTGTCCATTTCATCTTGTGGGATCACTTTTATTCCTTATTTGGTTCCTCTGTTTTCTCAGTAAAGTATGATGGAGTCTTCATTTGAGTGTTTGCATGGTGGACAGAGGGTGAGAAGGGAAAATTTATAAACGATGTTGTGGTAAGTGGGCTGGAGAATCAATTAGAGGGGAGTAAATGAATTGCCCTAGTGAAGTGAGGTTCCAGGTTGAGATTACATAATATAAAATGGTAGTGTTTCCAGTCCATGCTGTTGTAGGACTGTCTCCAACAGCACTTAAGTAGAAGTGGACTGGCAATAACCCAGGGCTAGGGTTTGGCAAGGTGTGAGTAGCAATAGGATGGGTCAAGAGTACAAGTTACAAAATTAAACTGTTAGATTGGTTAGGGAGGAAAGTGAAGGGGGAGAGAGGGATTGGACATAATGGTAAAGGTGAAGAATAGATTTAAGAAGACTAAGGCACTGAGAATGAAAGGAATAATTGTTTAGGACAGGACAAACATTTCAGAGTTCTCCATCATGGATGTAAAACAGTTGTGGTTCATGGCATGCTCAAGAATGTGCCCATCCCTTTGTACAGGTCGGCTGCAGTAAGATACAGGAGTTGAGTAAATTGAGAAATTATGAAGTTAATATTTGAGGAAACATTTATGCTGAAGTCCCCTAGTACATGGATAGGAATTGCAGTCTTTGAGAAAGATTGTGACCTAAATCCCTGGATCTGGATGCTAAATTTAATCAAGATTCCAGGTCATAGGATATTTATTTAATGCATTCTTTAGCCAAGGTATTTCTGCAGTAAGGAGCCTCTGCTTTAAGCAATCCTCTCTTTTCCGGGGGAGAGGGGTTGATGATTGGTCGTTAGTAAAGGGTGTACATCTAGAGGGCAGTTAATTTGACTTTGGTTCCCATTGGCGGGGGGTTTTTCTATCCGGAGATGCAGCCTGTTTTAGTGGTGGCTTGGACAGGGTTGGCTCTGGAGTCAGTCCCAGAAATAATGGGGGGAGTAGGAACCTGGACAAATGTCACAGAACCTCTCAGGGTCCCGATCGTCTTGGCGAAGTTCTATTGGAGCTCTTCATCTCTCTAGTGAAATCTCAGGTCTGATTGAAAAAAAAATCTAGAAAGATGATTTGAGACAATGGGAGACCCTAACAGATTCAGTCTCAAGCATCTCGTCCAGAAAACACTAATTGTTAACATGGTTTTGGATAAAGTCAATGCAGTGGTTTGTTTCGCTTGACTGCGTCTATGAGTTACTGGAGACTTGTTTTTGTGGTTTTTTGTTCCCCCTCCCCCAGTGTGTGTGCGTGTGTATAGGAAAGAAAGAAAATAAGTGCTTAGTTGAAAAAACTGTCGTAGCCTCCAGTCTGTGGAAACTAACTTCTACCCCTTTTCACACCTCCCCAAGCTTCGGAAACTTTGAGTCTGAACTCCGCCTGACAGCCCGAGCCGGGTCCAGCCCTCGAAGAGTCCCTTAACTGGACCCCCCGGAGAGCCCCCCCCAACGAGGCTGCGCCTAGGCCCGCGGGGGCGGTTTTAGAAGCGCCTCACCCCCTCCCGCAGCGTACTCCTCCCCCTCCTTCCTCCCCCAGGCCAGGGGGCGCGCGAGCCCCGCAGTGGCCCGCGAGCCGCCAGTTTAACGGGCTTCCTAGTAGGCTCCGCCCCCTCCCCCGCCCCACCCCAGCCTCGCCCGTCCCCCGCCCCTCCCCCGCCCCCCAAGCTCCAGTCCGGATCGGGCTCCCGACCCCGCGGCCGCTCCGAGGAGGTAGCGTGAGGAAGGAGCCGTGCCCTCGACGGAGGCAGGAACAGGAGGACCGACGGGGTGGCTGCGCCGGGGGCCCGTGTCCCAGGGCTGGGAAGCCGCGGTGCCGTACCCGCCCCCCGTCCTGAGCTCTCTCGGATCCTGAGGCGGTAGGTGGCCGGCCCTCGGAGGAGGAGGAGCTGGGACGTGGGGGTCCCGGAGGGGATTTGTGAGGGAAGAGAAGGGGGAATCGACGTGGTGGGGGATGGGAGAGAGCGGTTAAGGTCGTCGGGGCTTGGGGGCCTAAGAGCCGGGGCTTGAGGGGAGGGGTTCCGTGTGTGTGCGCGCGTGTGCTGCCTCCTCGTTCCTCGCTAGGCTAACGGTGATCATAGTGGGCCCTTATTAATACTTGCTAATTAATTGGGTAAGTGGTATTATGACAAGACTGGACTTGTCGGGTTTTTTTTTATCCTATTAGGTGTTTTTGTTTTTTTTATAGTATTGTTTTTCTCCTATATCAGGAGTTTGTTAACCTCTTTTGTGTGTCCTATGGACGGACCCCTTTGGCAATCTGAAGTTCGTGGGACCCTTCTCAGAATGTTTTCAGATGTTTAAAAGTACGGAGTAGGATTCCGAAGAAAACCTGTTCTATTGAAATACGATTATCAGAATATATATATGCACATATATACACACATATATACATGTATGTGTATATATGTATATGTGTTTATTTGTATTTAAAATTGATGGATCCCAAATGAAGAATCCCCTGGAAGAGAAACTGGGAAAAAACAAACAAACCAGTTTTGTAATGTAGGGTTAATTGACATTAATATAGAAAAGTGCTTCAAATAAGTGTCTTTCAAGACTCAGCTCAAATTCCACTGGTTAGGGATATTTTTCAACACCCCCCTACCCCTCAAACTCCTGGTGCTCTTTCCTCGGTATCTATTTTGCCTATACTTACAAATGCATATGTTGTCTCCCCTTTTAGAGTGTAAGCTTCTTGAGGATAGGAACTTTGACTTCTGTCTTTTTATCTCCAGCAATCTAGTATATAGTGGGCACTTAGAAAACACTTGATTTTTTTTTTGTTATTCTTTAGTGTTTTTAGATTCTAAGTGACCCCATTTGAGGTTTTCTTGGGAGAGATGCTGGGGTAGTTTGTCATTCCCTTCTCCAGCTCATTTTAAAGATAAGGAAACTGAGGCAAACAGGGTTAAGTGACTTGCCCCGGGTCACACAACTAGTAGGTATCTAAGGCCAGATTTGAACTCAGGTCTTCCTGACTCCAGGACTGGTGTGTTTGATTAGTAAGTAGTAAATTAAGTGGTATTTGACAAAATTGTGTCCCCATTCTCCCTCCTCCCCTTTCTTAAGTGTTTTGGTTTTTTGTTTGCATCACTTTTTTTCTTTTCTTTTTGTTTTCCTAGAGAGTGAAACTGTCTGAATTTGTATAGACATTACTTTTAGGTTAAAGGAAGAAATATATAGTACTATGGGAGTCATCAGCTGGGATCACATAGATGATATCTACTTCCACATATTCCCTCCTTGCTGTTTTATCTGTATTTCAAATGAGCAGTTGAACACACATTTTTTAAGTGCCTTTTAAGGTTTGTGAAAGACAAAGTGCTTTCTGTCCACTTTTCATATTCACTCATGAAATGTGGCATTAATTTTCAAGAACTCTTAATTTTCCTAATGTGATGTAGTAAGATTTTACAGTTTTAGTAGAATTAAATATTTTTTCTTGTCATATAGAAAAATTAATCGGTTGATGATTGACTTCATCATTTAAAACTTCTCTATATCTATCTTATTTCTCAAATATTTCCCCTCTTTCCTGATAGCAGGAAGGATTAATAACACATTTGATATGTAAGTTTAGTTTAAGAGGGTATTTCTAGGTAACTGATTTTTCATATTAAAACTGCAAGTAACTGTGCTTTTGGCCTGGAATTTCACTGTGCTTTCAAAGGGAACTTTGGGAATACAAAAGGAAAGTGATCCAGTAACATATTTAATACAATTAAAAAAGTTAATTTCTGAGGGGGATGGCTTGATGGTGGTAGTACAGTCTAGGCACACACCAATTGATCCTCTGATTTTTCATCCACAAATGTGACTGTCTTCACATTAATTATTGAAAAGATAGGTATACAAGTGTCAGGCAGCACTTGACTCATGATTTTAATTTATCTTTTTAATCTTTTATCTCTTTCCATTATTCAGAAATAAAAGAAAGTACTAGATGTCAGTAGTTTCTTTACAGCAACACTATACAATGGCTAGTGTTTTTGGCTTACCTCAAGTTAATGCATATATGTTATTGTACTTTTGACTTGCTGTTAGTTGGAAAAAAGCTGTCGGGCTTTCCAGATTTATTATTCATAGACACATAAAATTTTAGTGATAAGACCTTAGAAATAATCTAGGCAAACCTCATTTTATAGATGAGGAATGAGGTCTACAGGCCACAGAAATTGTCACCTTGCTCATGGTCTTATAGTCAGCTAGTTAGTAGTAAAGCTGGGACTGGAAAATAGTTCTTCTGACTCTCAGACCAGCGTCTCTTCTTCAATATTATGATATTTAAAACACAAGTTTTGTAGCAACAGCCACTTATAGGCATCTATTGAATTCATGACTAGCTGGATCAAAATGAGTGATGTTTAAAGATCTAAATTTCTAGCAGGAATATTATAAATGCTAAAACTTTTTAAACATTAACATTTTGGTAGTCTTACCATTTGCTGCCAAATGTTGTATGTAGTATTCTGTTTCCCTTGCAACTGTTGACATCACAAATACCTGCCCTCGGTAATACCAGCTGTTTCAAGGAAAACTTCCTCAATTCTGCATTCAGGATTTGTCCATTGAGTGAATGAGTAACTGAAATTTATCTAGCATCTGATGTTATTTTGTAGACTTTATTAACTTGGTAATTAATCTTTAAAAATTTTTAGTTGTGAATTATAGATTTTGTAGTGTATGTAGGTTTTTAGGTAATAGAGTATATCATGGCATGTTCCTTTTATGTGAAATCTTTTGTTTTAGCATTAGTAGGAGACTTCCTTTTATGATATAGTTATGTCTTATACATATACTATTAATACATTTCCACTAATGCTGTATTGGCAGCATAGATAGCAAAAAATCACTAGATAACAGTGTACTTTAACAATTCTTTTTTGTGTTTAGACTTGTTTGAATTTTTAATTAGTTGTTTGTCAGAATTGTAGTATTGAAAAGGATCAATATAAGTATTTATATTCTTTAGCAATTGACTAATAAACCATTCTTGATATTCCCTTCCTGACAATATTAAACATTGAATTGAATAAACAGATATTGCTCTTTTGGAGTAATGCTTGTTTTACCACACACTAGTAAGAGAAACTGTCAGTTTTTACTTGATTTTTTAACTTGTAAAATTTATACAGCCCTAAAAAAGGGAATTATTTATAGGTTGTATAATAATTGGAATTATAGATAGTGACTTTCTTTCAAAATTCTTTTCATAATAACTCAAATTTATATAGTGCTTTAAGGTTCTCAGAGTGCTTTCTTCCCCAAGTCCTATGAAGTATGTAGTGGAAGCAATGCCCCTTTTTTATGGCTGAGGTTGAGAGAGTAAGTGTGGGAACTGGGAGTCTCTCCTAAGTCCACATCTTGCACTAGGTAACTCTGTGGTGGTAGAAGATTGAGAGTGGGCCTCAAAGTCTGGAAGACCTGGGTTCAAGTTAAGCCTTTGATATATACTGGCTTTTTGACCCTGGGCAAGTAGTTCTGTGTCCCAGAAAAGCTCTCTTAAGATTCATTAAGTTTCAGAAAGGTTGTGGAGCTGCATTGGGTCCTCTCCTGGAGCTCATTACAGCAATGAAGTCATAGACCTGGACACAAAAATGAGAACAAAAACAAAAAAAACCCCACAAAAACCCCAAAACAAGCCCCCAAAGTTTCCATGGCATTACCTTGTGAAGTACATAGGTTAGATATTATTCATATTTACCTCTTTATATTTTTTTCCATTTTTCTTCAAATAAAGGAGTTTTCATTTTATCTTATTGTGTATTTTATTTATCCCTGCCCCTTCTGTCCTCCCACCTTTCAAAAAAAGAAATGGAAATGTTTTTGATTGGGGTGTAATATCAGATACACTGGTACCTGATTTGTACATGATTTGCCAAGTTCTTAAGGCTTTCTGGATGAAGAGAAAAAAGAATGTATAAGTGGTTGTTTAATCTGTTTCTTTGTATTGATACTTAAGAGATCCATGATTTAGTTATTGTGGGCACTTATTCCAATAATGTGGATCACAACATCACTGTGACTTAGTCTTTGTAAATTGCTTGTGTCAGAAAAAAATATGTCATTGATCAACAACATTTGACCAGTGAGTTTGCTGTGTTTAGCAAAAGTGAGCCTCAGATGACAAAGAGTTTCAGTTGTTTGATCTCCTAGTTTAGGAGACTTTCTAGCCAGTGCTTTGACTAATGGCATAGCCTTAAAGAAACTAAAGCCATCTCCATGATACAATGAGGCATCAGACTTAGAACTTTATTGTAGGCTTTCCGTTGATAATAGACATAGTTCAGCAAATTTTGTATAAGGTAATATATATATATATATATGTACGTATATATATTTGAAAAAACATGCATTTCACTTAATAGGATATAAGCTTCTTGAGATTAATGACTGTTTCATTTTTGTCTTTATATCCCTAGTGCCTAGCACAGTCAATGCCTAGCACATTCAATGCCTGGCACATAGCAGATGCTTAATACTTTTTGATTGATTGAAAAGGTTGGCTGTTATAGTCTCCTGCTGAGAAAAAGAACTGAGAACTGAGATTTCTCTTTTCCAAGTGCTCCTTTCAGGCGATCATTTATATCTGTGTAACTCAATTTTCCTCTTTTTATGGTCGCAGGAGAGGTTTGCCTTTTCCTCACTAATGCTAATAATCTTTGTTCTTGGTTTTCTCTTTCTTTCTCTCCTCACCCTTTTATATTTTCCTGTTGTACATCTTGGCATCCTCTTGTCTTTCTACAAATATATATATCCCTAATCCTAAAAGTGAAAACAAAGCTGTTTCTTTACCTTTCTACTTTATCCAACTGTGTTGCATTTTCTTTTCTTGTCAGATTGATAAATTTGTATACTACCTGTTTCTTTATCACCCATTCTCTCCTTAAAGTCTTCCAGTTTGGCTTTTACCTCTATTGCCTTACAGAAATCCTTTTCCCAAAGGTTGTCAGTGCCCTCATCAAATTCAGTAACCCTCCCATCCTCATTTTCCTCGACCTCCTTGCAGCATTTGGTACTATTGGTCATCTCATCTTACTCCCCTTTTTGCGTTTTGTACCACACTCTCTTAATTCTGCTGTCTTTGTAAATCATTTTGACTTTGCTGCCTTTACTGACTGTTCTTTTCCTAAATATTCTTTAAGGGAAGGGGTGTTTCCAAAGGTTATGTCCTTGGCTCTGTTTCCTTATTTCTTCTTATTAATCTTATTCATTCCCATTTCTATGTAGATGATTTTCAGATATATATTTCTTGTCTTGACTTCTCTTTTGAGTTCTAGATGATCATCTGCAAAGTCCTCCTGGATATCTTACCAGCACTTCAACATCATGATGTCCAGAGTAGTTTTATCATTTTTTTTCTCCTTAAACTTACTCTTTCCCTCCCCTTCCATTTATTGTTCCTATCAATACATTGCCATTCACTTAATCATCTCTAATCTTGCTGTTATGTGCCAGGCATTTCCCTAAGTGCTGGAGATACAAATACAAAAATGAGATAGGCCATGCTGTCAAAGAGCTTTATATTCTATTGGAGATGATACAACATAATAAGTTAAGTACAGGATATATACATAATGTGTGTGTGTGTGTGTGTGTGCGTGCGCGCGTGCATGCGCGAGTGCATGCTCGGTGCTTGTATTTCAAGTGATACATTACAATACAAAGTGATTTCTTGGGAGAGGTCAGAGTAACTAACAACTGGTAGTATCAAAAAAGTCTTTTGAAGGAGATAGCACTTGAGCTGAGTCTTGAAGAGAGGAGTTCCAAGAAGCAGCAGTGTTGAAGGAGTCTTTTAGGTATGAAGGGCAACTTATACCAAGGGACAGGAAATGAGTTGTCTTGTATGGGCAATAGCAGGTAGGCCAGTTTAGTTGGAGTGCAGACTATGTGATGGAAAGAGTAATGTGTAATCAGCTTCGTAGTATAAATTGGAGCCAGAAGTTGACTCCAAATGCCAAACAGAAGATTTTGATTTTATCTTATAATGAGTGGGGGGAAAATGAAGTCAGTATACGGTATTGGCAGAGTCAGACCTGCCCCTTAGGAATTTCAATTTGGCACTTGTGTGGTGGATGAATTGTTGAGGGGAAAGACTGGAAGCAGGAAGGCCAGGTAAGAGAATACTGAAATAGTCATAAGGATCTAGACTGGGGTCATTATAGTACAATTGGAGAGAAGTCGGTGAATGTTTAACATGTATGGATTCAATAGGGCTTGATGAGTCAAGTAGAGGGAAGAGTTAAGATGACTCTATGGTTTTGAATCTGGATGATTGGAAGTATAGTTAGTGGTCTTGCAATAATGAATGAAGAAATATTGAATGCATACTACGTGCCAAGCACTGTGCTAAGTATTCAGGATAGAAATACAAACAAGCAAGACAATCCCTGTCCTCAAGAATCTTATATTCTAATAAGGTAAGACAACACATGTAAGGGAGTTGTGGCCAGGGGAGGAGTCATAAAGCAATTGATTGACAAATCTTTTCTGGCTGGTAGTCTTGATTTTGTTACTCTCCTCAGAGTTAGAGTTGGGAAGAGGTATGGGATAGTCCTATGGTGGCATAACATTGAGATGGTCAAGGAAAGTAGCATAGTAGGTCTGAATCTGTGACAAAATAGGGTAAATTCTCACCAATCAGAAGCCCATGGCCCCAAGCCTTGATGGAGACGGGGAATTCGGTACTAGATGGGCTTTCTGGGAAAGATAATGTGTATTTGTTGAATTTGAGATACCCCACAGGTCACCTTTTCCTAGCATTCAAGGCCTTCCACAGTCTGGTGCAACCCTGCCTTTCCAGATTTATTTTATATTCTGCTCTGTTCACAGTACATTCAAATTAAACTGAAGTACTGTCTGTTTTTGAACACACCCAGCCTTTTTTACTCATGTTCTCTATGCCTGGATATCCTGTCTTTCCCCTTTTATCTATTGAATTCCTCCCCAACCTTCAAAACTGAATTTAAAAACTCCCTGTTCTTAGAAATCTTTCCTGTTCCCTTATATTGGCAATAACCTTCTCTCTTGAGTTTCAGATAGCATTTTGATTTTCAACTCTATTGTACCTAATCATGTTATAAATTATAATTGTGTTGGTATCTTATCCTTGTATTAGCTCTACTAGATAGTGATGATATCCTGTCTAAACTTGACATCTCTCCAGTAGCTAGCATAAAGCCCTATGCAGTAGGTGCTCATTGTTGAGTTCATTTCAATCTTGAAATTGGTACATCTTTATTCTTATAGAAGTCTTATGATTACTTGAATTTAATAAAGTTCTATGAACTCAGACAAATAATGTAATCGAGAATTTAATTTTCTTAGTTAAAACACATTATATAACTATAATTTGTCTTTTAAAGTATGGAACCTCAATGTCTTTGTGATAATGGAAACCAAAAAATTGATTGGTAAACCACTTCAGCCAGCAAGACCAGTTAGACATCTGTCTTCTCCCCATGGTGAGTAATGTAGTAGTGCTATCTCTAAATTTTTTGTCTATTTTCAATTAATATTTAAAAGGCTCAGTGCTTCAAAAGTGCCATATTGTTATTGTGTGAAAATTTTAAAAAAAACCCTGAAAGATTCTCTAATAAATACCCGACATATTAAGAAAAATAAACACTACTTATCTGTTAACACATAATCTGAAAGACCAGCAAAGGTGAGAGGTAAATTAGCACTTGACTAAAATTAACCTTGTGTATTTTTGTTTCAGGTCTCATTTTGGCAGATCACTGGCTCCTGCTCAGATCAATACCCCAGCACAAATTGTGCCAATTGACAATGATCACTGCAGAGTCTTACTGAAGAATGAAAAAATCCTTGAAAAAAATTAAGTATACAAGTGCAGTTTAAAAATTGTTCTTATAGAACAGCACTTAGAGATTCTGTGGTGATTGTGATGTCATAACTTTATTTTGGTAAAGTTTAGGGCTATGCTTTGAGCTGGAACAGGTAATCTGACTTCTGGAAACCTAAACATAGGAAAATAGGTAAGTTTTAAGATACATTATGCAGAAATGCCCCCTTTTACCTTTTATTCTCAAAACCATTAGTTCACAAAGCTAACTTTCTTGGTTGATTCCTTGGGAAAATTCTAACTTTTTTTTTTGATATGTTAACCTTTTTTGAGCCAGTCTAAAGCAGAAGCTTATCTATACTTCACATGTAATTTATCCTGTTGCATTAGTCACTGTTGTGTACAGCTATTTAATATTTCATATTTAATAGCCTCATTTTTGAAATTTTATATTTCAGTAATTTGTGAATATGAGATCTACCTTGATACCTTTACCTTGATAGTTCACTTAGAGCAAGGGTGTTTAACTGTTTTGTGTGTCAGGCTCCTTTGGCAGTCTGGTGAAACCTGTGGATCTCTTTTGAATACATAAAATACATAGAATTACAAAGGAAACAAATTTTATTGAAATATAGTTGTTAAAATTTTTTTGAAAGACAAGTTTAAGGATCTTAAGTTAAGAAACTTTGACTTCGAGGAGGTTCAAACCTCAAGTTATACTTTGTAAGCCCCTTTCCCATGTTTAGGATCACCATTGGTTTTGAGGGATCGTAGGAGCATAGAATTAAAACTGTAAAGGAGCTTAGAGGCTATCAAGGCCAGCCCCTTATTTAGATAGGTGAGGAAGTTGAGGTTATGAGAGGGTGAGTGACTTGCATACAGTTACATAGGTATTGGGTATCGAGTCTGGATTTAAACCTGGGTCTAGATTACAAATCAAGTGTTTTATGCACTATACTATGCTGCCTCTTATTTCATTTTACATTTCCTATTACTATACTGCAAGTTAAAGAAAACTTTTTTTAGTCTATTTTGCTACATTTTCTACCAGGCTAGGTGCTGGATTGACTAACTGACTGGATGAAAATAATTGCATTGTTAATAATTATTAAGGCTCAAATAATCTGCTTATATGGAGGATCTTTTTGCAAACTTATTTCCATTTTGTTTCCTATTTGATTTTGGAATCACTCTAAATTTGAAGAATGCAATCATTTATTTTCATTCTACATCAAACTTGTATGTCTTCAGGGATTAATTATATGATTCTTAAAGGGAAAATTCATTGAAAAGAGTAAGTATCCTAGATAAAGATTTCTGTCTGTTCCAGACAACTATTACTCTTTTGTTCAGCTGTTAATATTAAACCTATAAAATAATAAAAACAAATGGAAATGAAAAATAAGAATTAAAAATTGGTATTGTATAATGTCATCATGTGTGAAAAAATCACTAACTGAAATGTGAGCAATTTAATATCAAAGAATTATAAGATTTGTAGACTTATCCTTTCTATACCTTCAGTTCATTTTTCTACATTTGGATCATACTCTTATTTTACATACATTAAAATCAATCCTATTTTTAAAAGCTGTGTAAGAAGGAGATTCCTTAGCCAATCTAGATAACTAAAACTTACATATAAATACATTCACTGATAGAAAATATTTTCTTGTAGCTAACATAAATTCCTTATTTTTAAGGAATTTTTCTTAAAATTTTTTTCTTTTTCTTCTTATTTTCTTCTCAGGGAAGATGGACTCAGCTAGCCACTCTTCTTTATATAATAATCCAAGGAATCCAAGAGTCATTTACTTTTGTTTTACTGCCTAGAATACTTTAAGCACTCAAGTATTAAAAACAGCGACAATTTTCTCATTAAGGTTATGCCTTTTGCTTAGTTATATTTCTTTTTTACCTGTTAATGAAGGTAATACCTTGTCCCAACAGGAGCAGCATTCCCCTTTAATTTTCAAAATGAAAGTCCGTGCAGCACTCAGTGTTTACAAAGTGGAGTTGGCAGGGTAAGTTTTTCAAATATTTAGAATATACATTGAAATTATGAAAAGAATTTAAAGACATTCATAGGCTAAGTAGTCCAGAATAATAGTTTTCTTGTAGTAGAGTAATAGTCAACATAGTCATTTCACTACTCACTACTTGGTGTCCTTCCATGATTGAAGGTGAGAATATTGATATATTAATGGTGATTAAATTGTACTGGGCTATCTATGCTTCTCTGACTAGTGCCTCCTAATTTCCCCCAGAAGGAGTAAAATAAACACACAAATGACAATAGAAAAGTGCAAAACAGAAGTTCTATGATTGAAGTACCCACAAAGAGCCTTGGAAATTGATAGGAGGGAAGGATCACATTGTGTGATTGCAAAAGCAAAAGTTTCCTAAAGGAACTATTATTTGAACCAAGTTGTTCTCTGTAGAAGAAATCAGAAATTCTATCCCTCTCCCTAATTTGCAGACATAGGGGACTTTGGATATAGAACTTTGCAAGTAATGTCAGATTTGGTTGATGTTCTCATTCATTTTACTGAACTGTTTTTTTAAAAATTATTTTTGTATCTACTAGGTGTCAGGCAGTGTGCTAAGCACTGGAAATACAAAAGACAAAAATCCCTGCTCTCAAGGAGCTCACAGTCTAATGTGGGAGGTAGCATGAAAACAACTGTGTACAAAATAAGATGTATACAGATTAAATTTAATATAATCAATAGAGGAAAGGCCTTAATATTAAAGGGGATCATGAAAGACTTCTTGTAGAAGACGAGATTTTAACTTTACTTGAAGCTTCAAAGCTAGGGAATCCAGGAGGTAGATATGAGGAGGGAGATTTTTCTACATATGGGAAAAACCAGTGGAAATGCCTGAAATATGGAGATGGAGTGTCTTGTTTGAGGAACATCAATGATATTGTCACTGAATTGCAAAGTATGTGGTGTAAGAAGACTGTTAAGGTAGGAAGCGGACCAGATTGTGAAGGACTTTAGATGCCCAAAAGAGGATTTTGATTTTTTATTTGATACCAGAGGTGATAAGGAGCCACTGGAGTTAAATGAATAGGGAAGTGATATGGTCAGATCTGAGCTTTAGGAAGTTCACTGATAGCTGAGTGGAGGATGGACTAGAGTGGGGAGAGACTTGAGGCAGAGAGACCAATTGTCAGGCTGTTGTAATAACTCAGGAATGGGATGATGAAGTTGTGCACGAAGGTGTCAGCAGTGTTAGAGGAGTGAAGGGGATATTTACAAGAGATATTATCAAGGTAAAATCCGCAAGAGATTGGATATGGATGGTGAGAGAGAATGAGAAGTCAAGGATGACACCTAAGTTGTAAGCCTGGGGGACTAGAAGATGGTGGTGCCCTTGACAGTACTATAGAAGTTTAGAAGTGGAGAGGGTTTTGGGGAAAACATAAAAAATCCAATATTGGATTTGTGTTGAGTTTAAGAAGTCTGTGGTACATCCAGTTTGAGATGTCTAAAAAGGCAGTTAGAGATAGGTTGGATAAGTAGATCTGAGAATCATCAACATAGAGATGATAATTGAACCCCTGGGAGATGATGAGATCAAATGAAATAGTACATCGTTTAGTTTTCTTATTATTTAAGCAAAAATCTATGCTTTGACATTTTAGATTATTAGAAAAAAATAATTTTAATAAAGTAGAGATATGTGAAATATTTGAAATTGGGGATTTAAAAAGTACATTTTATTCCTGTTCAGCAGTGTAAGACTAATGGAATGCAAACCTTCACTCAAAGTCTTAGCCAACCACAGCAGCATCAGTCTCCAGTCAAAAAAGGTAAACCTGTCCCCAGATCCCCAACTAAAAGTAGTATTTTTGGTGTTAAGATATACCTCAGTCAACATATAGTTGTTGGCTAATGAAATTTAAAATTTGACTAAAAATCCTTTTGTACTCCAGGCATCTTGCCTCCAGCTTCAGATTTTCTTATTGTTGGAGATAGGTTTTCTGCCATTCCTCTTTATATTTCATGAAGAGACAGTTATTTTGGAAACTTGAGCCTCAGATTTCCAGTTGTTTCTAACATTGTCTTGAGACTACCAGGGAAGAGTATTATGATTATGGTATCTGGAGGGTGAGAGACTGCTTGATGAGATTGTAGTGATTGACTAATTAAGTACCTGGAAATGCTGGTTGTGAAGATTAACCTTATTTCTATTTTTGGTATTTTTCCTGTGTTCTGTACCTCTTTTAAACATAGTAAAACTTCATTAATTCAGAATTTGTAAGGATTTGTCCGTGAGTAGGTAATTTATCTTATAATAATATCTGTGAAGGAAAGGTTTGCTAAAGAAAGAATAATTATAAACTTATAAATATGATTTTATATGACATAAGCTACTTTAGCATGTTATATGAAAATGATGCTGCTTTTAATTACTATTTAGTATTATGTAGTAATTAAAGATAAAACATTTATTCATTATTCAACAGATGCTTTTGACTATGTGCATAATTACTGCATTAATATGTGTAGCACTGAACATATAAAACATTTAACTTCATTCACTTCTGAAAAATGTCAACACAACTTACTGAAGTTTTATTGTATCTGATTTTTAAAATTCTTTTTTTCCTCACTATGTAGATTTTCCTTGAATCTCAGGATAGCTATTTCCAAGGATGACAGGAAAGAAAAAAAGTAAAGTAAAGGCATAGCAACATTCAAATAAAAAGACATCAATGTATATTGTCTTGAGAATAGATATATTCTACTGATGATAGCGGAATTTTTTTTAGATCTGTGGGGTTGTCTGCGTTAAGTAGAACTGGAGCCGACAAAGTAAAATTAAAAGAAATAATACTATTAGTATGATTAATTTGAATTTTGTGTATTTATTTGAATAAGAAAATAATAATAAATATTATTATTAATTAAAGTAAATAGACAGTACTAAGCTATGTGAGATGAGGCCAGGATAAATATAAAATAAAAAAGAATGATATAGCATGTTGGGATTTAGGACAGGTGATGCAAAGTGGTTGATTTTTGACAAGTTATGTCCTGGTTTGAAGATTGTATTAAGTTCTTGTCTTGGCTTAGTTATTTACCAACTATGATCTTAGGACAAAAGTTCTTTCACTTCTTTCTGACTCCCTATCTGTAAATTGGTGACAATAATGGAATTTTTATGCAATTGAGGTAAACTATTAAGTATTATATCATTTTGAGGTGGTATTATATTTACTTAGCTATGAAATAGATATTATAGCTTATGGTACTTGTGTGATTTCTTTTGTTAATTTTGAATTTTTTTAAGATAATGGAAATGTGGTTTTGAAGTAATTAAGTATTTGCTCTCCCAAGATACTAACCAAAGAGATGATGTTTTCAAGTATATTTCATATAACTAAAGCCTCCAATATTTTAGAAATTGAAATCCTCTTATCAAAGTTGTATTTAACAAAACCTGTAGCACCAAGGAATGCCTCATCTATCTGTTAGACCATATAGAGTTAGTTAGAAGAGTCTCATTAGTAAGCATTCCCTCAAGCATTAACCCTCCCTCCAACAGACTACTACTCTTTACTGGGCTGTCTGGCTTCTGGCTTCATCCACAGGAAGAAGGGATAATTGAAGGGAGTTGAACTAGCTGAGGGAATATTTTAACTTTAACTTTTTTTTTCTCCAAAAATAGTCTTTTTAGTTTATAAAACACAAAAGAAATGTGCCAAAACTTATCTAGTAGGAAATCTTACTTAGACGAATTCTAATTGGTGTTTAATGTGTACAGAAAGAATTAAATATAGCAGAGATTTCCTGTTGAAGCTTTCAAGTGTTTCCATCTGTAGAAAGAAACCAGATTTTCTGCCCGATCATCCCATTGTACTCCAGAAGCCAGTAAGTTTTTTTTAATCATCGATTTAATTCAACAAGTATTGATTAGAGTGTCTATTAAGTTTTTAATTCTTTGTTATGTGATATATCTCTCCAAGCCCAGGCCAACACAAAACTCCCATGGTTTTGTTTTGTTTTGTTTTTTTCTGGCTAGGCAATGTGTCTGAGGCCGGATTTGAACTCAGTTCCTCCTGGTTCCAGGGCCTGTGCTCTATCCACTGTGCCACCTAGCTGCCCCCAAATTCCCATGGTTAACAAATAAATGGATACTTTGTCCATCTATGGCTTTCTCGATATTTTTTAAGGCATGGTAGAGAGTAGGGGTTTTTGACCCGAAGTCCAAAAATTTGTTTAATATTTTAGTAACTATATTTTAAAATAATTGATTTCCTTGTTATTATTATCTATTTTATTTTATGCATTTTAAAACATTCTGAAAAGGGACCAATAGGTTTCAACTGCCAGAGGAGTCAGTGGCACAAAAAAGTAAAGAACTGGTGTAGGGTTTGAGTCTTGCTTTATATAACCAGGTGACCTTGGGTGGTTAACCTCTATGAACTTCAGGTTTTGTATTTATAAAATGATAACTCCTACCTTACAGGGTGGTTTGAGGCTCAAATGAGATAAAAGGCAACTATCATTTACCTTTTTTTCTTCTCTAGACTAAACATCCCTTATTCCTTCTGCTGTTATCACATAGCACCTCACGTGACATCTGGGACATAGATATAATTTTACATATTATAGGAAACAATCATTTCTTCTCCTATTTTATAGGATCTCAGACTGAGACATCATCTAGTAGTACAACTCATACCTGAATAATAATCCTATTTTTAAAATATCTGATACTTCCACTTGAAGATTTTCAGCAATGGAGACCACACCACCTCCAAAGACATCATTCTAATTTTGGACAGTTGTAATAAGGGAATTTTTTTCCACCTTGATATTTAACTGAAACCTGAATAAACCAATTCTGATATATTTTATAGGACAGCTCTTCAAATATTTGAATGCAGTTGGCATGTTTCCTAAATCTCATTTTTAGACTAAATATCTCCAGGTCTTCCTCCTGATCGTTGGAAGAAGAGTTTTTCTAAATCCCTTCATCACTCCTCCTTTACCCTGCTCTTGGTTCATTCCAGTTTATTGTGCTATTTGCTCCACATGATATGCTCACCTCATCATTTCCACTTAGTGAAATGTCACTTATCCTTTAGGGCACAGTTCAGATTTTACCATCTCCATGTATCAACCTAGCCAACCCTTTTCTGCACTCCTATAACACTTTGCTGTTTGGATACTTTTCATATATTGCTTTGTATTACAAGTGTCCATGCCTGGTGAGAGTATAACTGCTTGAGAGTAGAGACTGTAATTCGCTTTGTGCCCTCAGTCATAGCACTTAATACAATTTCATTCACATACAAGGGCACACAGATATTTTTATGTGAACTATCTTGAAGTTTACTTCAGAGCTTGGTGAGTTCATTATTCCACTAAGGTCCAGTTGAGAAGGATGTGTTTAAGTTGTAGCATGAGATTGTAAGGATATAAGGAATTACATGGACAATGCTAAGTTACTACCCTATTTTGAACTTTCTTTTTTATCAAAAGGCATTTGAAAGTGGTATGAGCTATGACTGCATATGTAATTTCAATGTTAAATCTTTTAATCTGTTGTGCTTGTGTGGAATTCTTATAATTCCAAAGAGCTTTCGTTTTCTTTTCCATTGGTAAATCTCATTCTGACCAATGTACCTTTTTAAAAATATTGTGTTCTTAACTTCTTCCTTAATCAAAGGGTCATAATAGGTCATTAATGCAAGTTTTTAAATTGAATCAAAACTAGAGAGTGATCAATTGACATTTTTATGCAAAGGGATAATTGATATGGAGAAAGACCTCACAGGTTACATTATTCAGATGTCCCTTAAATATTAGGTGTAAATATACGCAAAATACTCAGTTTCCACTAAGTTTGGAAAATACAGGAGTAGAACCAAGATCAAATCCTTTTGTATTATAAACACAACTAATTGTGTCGAGTTCATTGACACTTGAATTTTTGTGCCTTTCCTAGGAAACTGTTTAATTCAGATTCTTTACCTGGAACCATAAGTCTAAGATACAGGAAAAGTTTGAAGCATTCAGTGTATTATAGAACCAGTCATAGAAGGAGGAATGACCACTTTATTTACTTAGTAAAAGAAGGCAGATTTGGAATCAGTGGCCACAAGTTATAGAGAAGCAGATTCCAGTTGAATAGAGCTATCCAAAAGCAGAATAGTTTGCTTTCAGAGGGAGTCTGGCATTATCAGAAGTCTTTAAGAAGCAGATTCTTAGGTAATCACTGGGTGGGATGTTTTAAAGAATATTCTCCATAACGTTTGAGATCCTTTCCAGCTCTTAAAAGTCTGTATTTGGAAGGGGAAGCAGTAACATCTTCAGGAGAATTTTTCTCCTCTCTCTCTTTTTAAATTGTGTGTGTGTGTGTGTGGTGAGGCATGTCATTAGATTGTGAGCTCCTTTAGAGCAGGAATCCCCAGAGCTTAGCACAATGCCTGGCACATAGTAGTCACTTAATAAATGCTAGTTGACTTATTGACTTGCCTACATAGGAAGTACCACCTGAGTTGCATTCTGCACATAAGCACTTAATGATTAAATGACCAAAACTACATATCCATGGTCTAAGAGTTGGTCTGGATAGTGTTTTCGGAAGAACCTACTCAGGAGATGTAGCAGTAACAATTTGAAGGAAACTTCTCTTGGTTTAATACTATCAACATTGGACTTAGAGTAAGAAGACCTGGATTTGAATCCTGGCTCTGCTATTTAACCACATTTATCAAATCTTTCTGGGTTTTGCTTTCCTCATCTATAAAAAGAGGAAGTTTGACTGGATTGATTTTGTTAAGGTCGTTTCCAGCTCAAAATCCTATGGTGCTATTGTGTCCAGCTCTCTTGATAACACCAGTTAATTTGCTTTTCTCTCCTGAATTTTTATAGCAATCATGAAGATAATAGCACTTACTTAAACAGATGAGCAGGCCGACAGAAATGGTTAAGACAACAAGTTTAGGACAGATTATTATGATAGAAGGAATCAGAATCTAGAAAATATGGCAGTTGGGATGTTCTGTTCTTTGAAGGAATGTTTTCATTTATGTGAGAATGTGCAAACAGTAAGTATAGATATTTATGGATGGTCAAGAGAAAGGCTTGTTTTCTTTTTTAACTTGAGTCTGGTGAATTTTTTTTGATACTTTTATTCGATGAAAGCAATCTATTAAAATTTTTTTCCATTCCCATTTGCTTTCATTTCCTTTTTGTACTTTCCTTAAACCTTAATCTTCCTCTCATCTACAAAAACATTTCATGTCTTTTCCTTCGTCTTCTGTTACATAAGTTTACCTTTCCAAACTTGGGTTCTATTTAAATGATCATATTTTGTCTCTATTTTCTTTAATTTAAATGATCAATTTTGTCTCTTTGTTCCTTTCTTTGTGCTTCCTACTCTTTTCCCAAACCTCTTTATTTTAGTCTTTTCTCCTTTTGTTTTCTCCTGTAGAATATTCATATCCCTCTTCTACCTCTTCTCTCAAAGGAACTTAGCTTTTCTCATATAGAATTTAATATAATTGCCTTTTTTTTCATGGGCAGTGCCAAAACCAGGAGGTTTGGGCAATGTGAATGCTGTTGAGAAAACTTCAGAAGAGGAAGAATAAGATCACTCTTGTTTTGTTCTTCAACATGAAGGTTTCAGCCTGGAGAACAAATAAGCTTCTGCATATTTGAGGTTACTTGGAACTTTTTCGTTTTCATAAATTCATACAATCTCAAACGTGGGAAGAACCTCAGAAGACATCTAGTTCAACTTGAAATTGAATAGGAATCCTTCCACATCATCTCCAGATGGGTGTACTCCCATCGTAGTCTTCTACTTTGAGATAACTTTAACCATAAGGAATTTTTTTTCTTACATTTAGCTTAAATCTGTCTCTTCAAATTCCACCTTTTTTTTTCTACCTTTGCCTTCTGGTCCTAGAACAAGAAGTATTGTCCCTTTTCTATGTGACAGCTCTTCAAATACTTGAAGGCAGCTATTGTCCCACTACTAAGTCTCCTTCAGGCTAAATATCCCTGATTCCTTCAATGAATTCTCATATTGCATGATCTGAATACCTTTCACAATCTCGGTTGCTTTTCTGTAGCTCCAACTTATCAGTCAAAAGCCTTCTTAAAATTTGATGTCCAAAACTGAACATAATATACTTCATGTTGTGTGAGCATAGCAGAGTATGGTGGACCTATCACCTCTGTGTCTTGGACACTATTCTTTTATCCCCTTTGGAATGTATCCCAAAATACCATAGTAAGGGTTTGAAAATTAACTGGCATTCTGGAACAGATGTACAAGCAAGTGTTCCTTGTCATATGTTTAAGGTATTTTAGACTATTGAAATCTTTGAATCAGAAAGCAGACTTGACTTCTGCCTGGAAGTTCAGGACACATATAGTCTGTGAGATACAGACCAAGAAGGAGTGAGGTCTTCAAAAACTGAGCAGCAGCAGGGGTGTAATATCCTCATACTCATCCAGGACTTAATGAGTTGATCATGAAAGAATTGGTGGCATCATTATAATAAACTGACAAATGGACAGACTGAAATGACAAGACTAAAAGGAGAAAATTATAAATTGCAAAGGGTAACATTTGTCAAAACAAAGGTGGCAAAAAAAGAAAATATAGGTCACATTTCAGCTGGTAAAAAAAAAAAAGACCATTCTGTCCAATAGATTGGTAAATCACAATAATCTTATGGGAAGATAAACATTCATTTATGTAAAACTTAAGTGATTTAAATAAACAAGTTACCGCCTAAGTTGATGTCCTAACCTTGTTTACTCCTTCTTGGCCTATGTTTCAATCACCTTCAGGTTCTAAGTCCTTATTAAATGTTATGTACAAATAAAATTACAGCATTAACATTTCTAATAGAGAAAGCTCTTCGATTAATCTTGCCTCACTTCTTATTAACCCAAACATTTTAGGAGAATCCTTCTCATTAAATCTTTTTCACTCTTGGCCTAGACTATTGCAGTAACTCCTCAGTGGAGTCTCTGCTTCAATCCTCCATCTCCAATCCATCCTTCACACAGTTGCAAAATGATTTTCTTCAGGTTCAAGTCTGATAATTGCTGTTCCCCTAGTGGTTCCTATGGCTTCCCGAATCAAACAGAAACTCTTCCATTCGGCCTTAAAGCCCTTTACAACCTAGCACCATTGGTCTTTTATATGCAAATGTTTTATATTTTAATGTACTAACTACATGGAAAAGCTGCATTCCTGAACTATATTCAGAGCAACATTTTGCCCTATTGAATATAACAAAAATAATTTTATTTCTAGTCAAATTGCATCCAGATCTTTTAGCATTATATAATAATATAGTTTATAATCAGTTTACTGTGTCTTGTACATACTAGACACTAAATTAAAAATATTGACTTGGTATACAATTAAAATGTATAAACATAGGTTTTATTTATTGAGAACTTTCTTTTGTGTTTCAGGAAAACAACCAAAGTTTTAAGGAGCATTCATAAGAACAGAGGATTTTGAAGATAAAGAATCGTTCATTTAATATTTTGGACACCTAAAAATGAAGTGGATCTAGTAACAATAACTGCGATGGACCATGACAATCCAATTTATTTTTCATTTCAATAGTTGACTATTTGGTTTTCCCTAAAATGAGTAAGAAATATTTTAAACTATAAAGAACTTTCTTTCTAATCAGCTTCAGCTTTTGCAGGCAAGCAACTGCATAATTTGGGAAAGAACACTGGAAAGTAGTAATTGACTTAGTTTTGTGGGAAGACCTGGTATTTATAATTTGCACGTTACTTGCAATTTTTTTTGTTTTTCATCATTTGTAATAATGGAATGGAAATGCAAGCTGTAACGATTCTCAAATATAAAATATTTGCTACTATATTATGTATATAGTACATAATCTTTTGTTGCCTTTAAAGTTGCTTTTATTCTTGTTTCCAGCAATTTTATACCAACACTTGAAAGGATCTTTTGTAATCTCCTCAAAACCATAATTTGATTGAGTAAATTTAGTGGTGCAGTTCTCAGAGACAGAGAGGAGAATTTATTATAGCTGTTTCTGACCAATTGATCTTTAGGTTATTGGACCATAAACATTGTCTTGGCAGTCCTAAAATTATTAGCAGAGGCAGACTAATAGGAAGCTGTATTAGTGATACCAAATGGAACTATGGAGCTGAAAAAAATACTGCTTATGTTATAGATCAAACTATATGAAAAGTAGTTCAGAATTTTTATAAACAGGACTATTACTCTCATAACCAAAAAGGAAAATGTTAGGGATTTGTAAGGTTGCACATGCTTTAAGTTTCAATGCTCTGTTCAACTCTCTAATTTCCTTATAATGTCAAGAAAGTATTTGGATGAAGCATTTAATAAGTAAAATTCCTAAAATTAAATTTTTTATACTGTGAATTTTCTGTAAAGAAAAAGTCACCCCAAATATTACTGGAAAGCATTTTTCCAGCTCAGTGTCAAAAAGCCACTTAGCAGTTATGGAACCATTATTTTGAGGAGTTTCATCTGGATGGGTTTTTTTCTCTCCCTCCCTCCCCATTTACTCTCCTCCTCCCCACCAAGAGAGAAAATAGGCAACTATTTTTGTTCATTTTTCCTGGGATGGGCCAAAGGAACAGAAAAGAGAGACTCTCTGCACCAGGAGCAAACTAATATTTGGCAAAGGGTAAAAATGGAGTTGTAAAGGTAAGTGTCAATCCCTTTTATCTCCATTAAAGGGATCTCGGTAGAATTTCATTCTGACAAAAGGTTTTTAATTTGATTAAGCATATCCCTCTTCTCTTCGAGTCTTAGAGCCATTTTGCTGAGATCCTGGTTTTTAGATGAAAGTATTCAAACTTCAATCCCTCACTCATTTATTCTCCCTGGAAAAGGTTCCTTCTGAAGTACTGAGAAGGCATTCATTTAAAACCTAAAGCCAGATTTTTATGATGAGCTGTTATATATAGCACCCTTTAAAAACAACAGCTTTTTACTTTGCTAATTCCTTCTACCTATATAATAGTTTCATTGCAATCAGAATTGTCATATATGATTAAATTCTCTTACACTTTAAATTGCCTTTTCTTGTTTGAATCCCTTTTATTGCTAATTATAAAAAGAAATAGGATCTAATTTTATGTATATTTGGAATTTGGTAAGCCCTTATGCTGAATATCTGTTGGATAAGCCATTGTGATGGGCAGAACACTTACATTGTCATGCTACCATGGGCCAGACATTGAAGACTACACCGTATTAAAAGACTTGATGTGGTTCCTAAATATGACACTGAAAAGGACCAGCTAGTGCAATGACTGGCCCTTTTTTATTACTTAGCAGCTGTTTTGGGGCTGCATTTTATCCCAGCCATTCAATGCCAACTCTTTTCAGAGGAAGATTAAACAGAAATTGTGCACTGAGTTTTGTTACAGTGTTAACATTCTGATAGGTTTTCAAAGTCAATTAATCCTTTGTTACTGCACATATTCAGAATGAGGCTGCAAAGACTTTTTATATTCTGTCTCTTTGCCTTTGTACATATGTATAGCATGTTTATATAATCATTGTACATCTCCAGTAATGTTGCGCTGTGCTCTGTATATAAATTAAAAGAGTTGACAGAGTTATTTTGTAATGTTTGTCTTCAATAGAATTGGCCAAGACAAGTATTTGATAGACCTAATCCATCCAACAATCAAAATAGACTGCCTTTATGCCTTGGGGAAATTCTGAAATGTTTGAAAAATGAATTTAATTTAGGATAGAGGAGGTTTGCTGGGGACATACAAAGCTTTGTGGGTGGTTCAGAGTTGTGATTATATTTGAGAGTGTTTCTGTTATCTGTAATTTTATAGTCTTTAAAAAGTAGCTTTTAAATTTAGCTATTTGAATTATACAAGGATGAAAAGATGATTGAAAATGTTCACCTTAAATTACTTTCCCCACAGACTAACAAGTTGAAAAGAATCCTAATAAGGGGTATATAATTTTTTTAAACAATTTTCTGTGTGATGAGTTTTAGTTATAAAAGTGGTTATCTAATGGTTTATGAGCTTGCAAAGAATGGCATATACATTTTAAGGGATAGGAGATTTGTAGTTAAGTATATATCATCATAGTAGATGGTTCCCCCATTGACTGATGCTTTACCATTTCACTCAGCTTTTTTGTATTTCACATTATTGGTTTATTTTCTTAGGTTAATACTGTTTAAAGCATTTTGATGTCAGCTAAAATTTAAAGTGTTTTTTTCTTCACATTAGAGTACTATCCCACCAGTTGCATGCTATAATCAAACACAGTATTATTTTGAGCCAGATTATCCTAAAGCATAAACTATTCCCTGGATCCAAATGTGCCTAATATATAATCAGGATTTAGAATGTGCCAGATACTCCTTTCTTGGAAGCTGCCTTAACTCTAAATCAACAACATTACTCGTATTACTCATGAGGTACCCATAGTACATTACTTAAAAAGTTCCTTATCAAATGGCACTCTGAGTTATCAAGGAATTGTTTGTTTACACTTTAGGAAGACTTGGCTCATAATTTGATAATGGACAAACATATCAAAATCTATTTTATGCTCTATGCATTAATTCAGTTAAGTGATACAGAAAAAGTATACACATTTTGGTGCCAGGAACCTTGGGATAAGAGTAAGAAATCAGTACAATACAGAATAAACCATTCACACAGAAAGTCAAAGGATCCAGGTTCACAAATAACATGATTTAACATTTTTAACAATGTATGACCAAAAAGGATGTGTCCAATGAAGAAGTAAAACAATTCCTCTTAAATTTCCCTTTAGTGATCTGCAATATATTCATAATTTTGTTTCTGATAAGAATTTTTTACATCTATACCTTGGAAGAGTACCATATTTTTGAAAATCATATAGTATTTGAGGACAATATATAAACAACATAATTACCATGAAAATAGTTAACAGAAGAATCAAATTTAAAAATTTTAGCTAAAATTTGCACAAGGAAGGACTAGAACACACAGGTTAGAAAAAAGTACATGTTAAAGGGAACATTGAATTCAAATATATAGTAGATTAATAGCCACAGATAAGTACATAATGCTTGTTAAATGTAAACTTCATTGTTTACTTGGAACAATGAAGGCATCTAGTTGTTGTTCAGCACCCACCATGAAGCTGAAAGGAAAAATATAATTTTAGTAATGAAGTCAACTTGATAGTTGATACTTTATTACTCTGTGAAATATCAATACATGAGTGAGAATAAATGATTTCACCTATCCTTTGATGCACAGGAAGAAAGCCAAACAAATTCATTATAGCATTTGCTCCACATTGTTTGGGTTATATATGATTGCTTATGTGTAAATTAAATAATAGAAATAAGTGTAAGTCTCACCTCTGAAGCCTTCCTAGAGTACTTTATGAAGTTCTGTTTTCTTTCTAATCTGGTCACCTAGGGCATTTTTCTATTACATGATTTTTTGCCATATAATTGTATTTTGCCTTGATTGGTTCACATGAATGTGGTATGTCTTCCATCTAGTGATATTCTAAGCTTCTTGAAAATGGAGCCATGTTCCCCCCCTGCAGAAATAGAACTGTATGTTATAGTAACATTAAAAAAAATGAAAGCTAACAGAATCAATCATAGAATGCTAGAAAAGTTTGTTTTAAGTGAAATTTTTGTATCTTCAATTCTCTTATTAAGTTCAAATTTGAAATTAGAAATATATTCACATTACATTGCAGGGGAATTCCCTAACAGATCAAAGAAGGAATTAAGTTGATTACTAGACTGTTACTAATGGTTTTATAACATTTTCCATTACCCAGGAATTTTCTTCCACCTAAAGATCTTCTGGTTCCATAGGCAAATGCAACAGCTTTCATATTTGTTTGGCATAGATTATTATTATCATTATTTTTGGACCAGTTCTGTGATTTTCTCTGTGTAGGGAACTTCCAGTGAGGAAACTCAGGTATTGACACATATATATTATTTAAGGTGTCTAACAGAATTAGCCTCTTGTATCTCAAAATACCAGTAGTTTCCATATAATGTGACGACTTCAACATGAAAATTCCTTAAGTTTAAGGATTCAGATTGTGCAAAATACATTAATATTCTTAATTTATCAATGTACACATGAATTATTTAAAATGTTATGTTTCATATGTGCTCTTGAAATAGAGTGGAAGAGACCTCTATAGTAGAAACAGGTTAAAAAAAAGTTAGTGCACCATGTATCATTTGATGGTGACTGGAAAGCAGTAGTTAACAGATATAACGGATGACTTGTCATAGGAAAGACATGGCCAGAGTGCATATAACCAGCCAAAAACAGTATTTTGCTGGTATGTTGTATGAACTTTCTTGTGGTATCTGCTTCCATCTTTACTATTATATGAAATATGTACTAATTAATCTCTCATAATATTAATTCTGTATATAGTGTAGAACCAGATATAAAATAAAGGTTTATGATTGTTTGTTCTGAATAACGAGTATCTTCTCCATCCCTACCTTTGGCTATCCTCTTGTGTATCTTCTTTAGGGTCCACAGTTAGCAACATATCAAATATTTTACCCACAGTATGTGATGTGTATCCTATAATAGTTATAAACCAGTAAAATAAATATTAGTTTGTAATTTCATGCCTGTAATAGGGTTGCTTTATTTCCTTATATTGCAACTTAGTTTTTTTGGTTTTTGTTTGTTTGTTTTTTGGCGAGGCAGTTAGGGTTAAGTGACTTGCCCAGGTCACACAACTAGTGTCAAGTGTCTGAGGCTGGATTTGAACTCAGGTCCTCCTGACTCCATAACTGGTGCTCTATCCACTGTGCTACCTAGCTGCCCCTATATTGTAACTTGGGCAGCCCAGCAGTCTTGGGAGAAAGGTAGTTTTATTGAAAATAAGATTGCTTCCTGGGTTTAAAGAATCACATAAAATGAGTATTTTATGCTTCTCACCTGTTTGTTAATGGTGGTCTTATTATCCTTTACACATTTTAATATAAGGTTTTTAGGTATCATATATATGCATATATGGGCTGTGTATTTGCCAAATGTTTCTGTTTCCTATTTTAATATATATACACAGTAATTATTTTAAGAAAAACTGGCTAATGCAAAAGGTATGCCTCTTCAAATTGAAGTTCTGGCATTTATACCTTTATACCAAATTTACTTAAACTATTGTGCTTGCTAAACATACAGCTATATGAAAATTAATATTAAACAAGTTTAGCAAAACCTAATAGGAAATCTATTTAAAGCTAATTAAAGTTTTGAAATTAGTGGTAGGAAATGGAGAACCACCTTAGTATTGACCAAGATTGACTTTTTCCCTTCTTCATCTGTTAACTTGGAATACCCTTAGTTGAAATTGGGAAAAATAATGCTAGATAGCAGCAAAATTTATTAAGCAGCATTAAATCACATTTATTTGAAGTTGAAAGAAGAAGAGATCGAGTTAGATTATCAGCTCCTTGAGGGCTGTCTCTTTGCCTTTCTTCATACCCCCAGCACTTAGCTTAGGGTCTAGCAAATAGTGGGTGCTTAATAAACGCTTAATGACTACAGTTTTTTAGAGGGTGTGATATATTTTCTTTCTATTTCAACCTTTCTAAAGCCAGAAACAAAATAATTACTAGAGTAAGACAGTGTGACAATAATATATCTTAATAGTTTATTGAAAATAACTTTTTATGAAGTAGTTGTACCAAGTTGCCTGTTAGATTTATTCAAATTCCTTTGTTCTTGCCATACTCTTAATTTTCCTAATCCCTTATTACCTTTCTCTTTTTTCTAAGTTTTTCTTTCTATATTTACTTTATATACCCAGTTGTCATCTATGATTTTTTTTGGGGGGGGCTAGGCAGTGGGGTTAAGTGACTTGCCCAGGGTCACACAGCTAGTAAGTGTTATGTGTCTGAAGCTGGATTTGAACTCGGGTCCTCCTGAATCCAGGGCTGGTGCTCTATCCACTGTGCCGCCTAGCTGCCCCATCATCTGTGATTTGTAAGGCATTCAATATTAATAGCTCATTCAGTAGTAACATGGCTTATTGTGGCACTCATCTCCTGACCCAGCAAGTCTCCCAGTGCATATCCATTCTGTTGCTAAGGCCTGTAATTTCACCTTTGCAACATGCCTTGCATACACTCCCTTCTCTCTGACATTGTCACCACTCTAGTGTAGGCTTTTATTACCTTGTGCCTGGGCTATTGTAATAGTCTGCTAGTGGGGTCTGCCTGCATCAAGTTTTTTCTACTATAATCTATTTTCCATTTTGCCACTGAAGTGATTTTTTGAGCACACAGGTCTAATCATAAATTACTGAAACTATTCAGTAAACTTCCTATCGACTCCAGGATCAAATACAAAATTTAGCCCTCTCTTACCTTTACCTTACTCCCAGATAGGTACTCTTCAGTCCAGTGACACTGGCTTCCTGGCTGTCCCATGAGCAAGACACTCCACCTCTGTTCTAGGATGTTTCTCTGGCTGTCCCCCATGCAGGCCCTCCTCAGCTCTAATTACTGACTTACCTGGCTTCCTTTAAGTCCCAACTAAAATCCCATCTTTTATTGGAAGCCTTGCCCAAACTCTTAATTCTGCTGCCTTCCTTGTGTTAATTGTCCGTCATGTCCTGTACGTAGCTTACTTTGTATATGTTTGTATGTTGTCTCACCCGTTAGATTGTAAGCCCCTTGAGTGCAGGTACTGTCTTGCCTCTTTTAATATCCCCAGTACTTAACACAGTGACCGGCATAAAGTAGATGCTTAATAAATGTTTGTTGATTGATTACTCTTTCTCTGACATATTGCTTGAACCAGGTGGTAGGAAGCAGAAAATGGCTATAGTGGTAAAGATAAAGGACCATGAAATCTTGTATCAGTACTCCTAGGATGTTTCAGCTATCCCAAAGATATGTTCTAGGTGTGAAGATAGCGCTAGTTACCTGAGAAATTTATCAGCTAATGCATTATATTCACAGATGTATAGAAAAATTATAAAACATGAAAGGAATCTATATTACAAGCTTTCTCTTCTCATGCCCCCAGTGGACTTCATTATATTATAATGTTTAAGTCTAATATAGTTATGCTAAAGATGAAGAGTTTCAATCTCGTTTGCTTGCTTCACTAATTCTCACCTTCACCTTCCCTTGAGCTTCAGAGTATCCAGAGTTGAGTGAAATTATGAAGCCACAAACTGATTTAACCACATGCGATATGACTTGCTATTTGAAGCTTATTCTTGATATTTAGAGAGAATACCCAGAACTGTGCATTCATTGAGTTTGTTTTCTCCAGGCCAATACTGAACCTATAACTGAGACCCTACAGATAAATAAAAATGGTCTGGCAAGGTCTGTCAGCAGGAATCTCAAACATTTAATTATCGGGCTCCAGAGATTCCACATTTGGTTTGAAGGTGAGGTTCAAGTTAGCTTAAGAGAGGCCTGAAACCTTTGGAATATTATATACTTTAATTTTTTTTCTCATTCCCTCCAAACTGTACATTTGAAATTCCATTTCACCAAATACTCATAATGAAAATCTCTCCATAACATTTACAAACTCTAGCCTATCACCTAATTCACTGTATAAAATTACAGTATGAGAGAATTGGAAAATCTTGGTGTTTATTCTAATACCATTTTGACCTATATTGGAATATAAGCCACTTTTATTTTGTAAGGAAGCATCTGCTCATGTACTGATTCCTCATAATTCTAAGAATCATGGACAAAGCTTTTCCTAAATGGACATTTGAGTTGGAGGGAAAGGATATGAAAAACAAATCACTAGGTAGTATGGAAGAAAATGATAGTACTTGGGGGCGGGGGAGATAAAACAACATGCAAAAACTAAGAGAGGTAAAGCCAGCATAGTTACCAGGAACTAGCATAGTAGACGTGAGTTCTGGAGTTTCCAAGAAATCCACATTGCTCCTTTGGAATGCCTTGCTGTAATTCATCTGAAGGTGGCTGTATAAACAATTACATGTCAGTGCATTTTCATTTATCTTTTTAATTTTTCCAAAATAAAATACAACAGAGACTAAAGTCATATGTACCATAGGATTAGATATGAAAAGAGCTGAATAACAGGATTTTTTGAGGGTCATTTGGCTTGAAAGACTAGTGATACGTGAATGATAATCAAGAGAATCTGAATTCTCTAGTGGAGGTGGAACACTAGGAAATTCACTTAAGTTTTAGCAAGATTAAGTTTAAACAAGTGGAAAACATCTTGATTAAATATTGGGGTAGGCTACTATATGAGATTGGTAGCTAGGTGGTGAAGTGGATAGGGTGCCTAGAGTTAGGAAGACTCAACTTTGTGAGTTCATATCTGGCCTTAGACACTAGCAGTGTGACTCTGGGCAAGTCATTTAACAATCCTGTTTGCCTCAGTTTCCTCATCAGGAAAATGAACTGGAGAAGGAAATGACAAAACATTCTAGTATCTTTGCCAGGAAAACCCCAAATGGAGTCATGAAGTGTTGGACATGACTGAAATAACAAAAATCACGTGATGTTACGGATTTCATCCTTGGAGTTTTCATTTTTTATTTTGTTTTGCTTTGTTTTTAAACCTGTCCTGAAGAGTTTAGGCTTGCAGGCAAGAGGCTGAAAAGAAAGAGGTTAAGTGTAATTTTGTGATCTTTTTACGCATATTCCATGTTATAATGAGACCCATTCTTTTCTAAATTGACAGTCTTCATTCTCTAATCTTTTATATAGCCTGAGGGGAAAATATTTGTGGCTATACACATTATACTTCAAATGCTTAAAAGATGTATGGTACCATTGGTGTGAGTGCAACATAGTTTGCCATTCCCCCATGGCTTAACAGAGGCAGTCTTCATGAGGTGCTATGACCATTAAAAAAAAAAAATCACCCAGTGACCAACCTGAGAAGTAGCATCTTTGGTTTAGTTAGGCCACTGAATAAAGCAATGTGTCACCAGACCTGTATTGGAACCTTTCCAGGTTGCTATAACATGGCAAAACTAATACTTTGCTGATATAACCTTTGAGAACTGCCTCCACAAGACAGAGGCATCAGAGTAGGAGGTAGTATGGTGCAGTGGAAAGAATGTGGAATTTAGTGTCAGAAGGCTTGGGTTCAAATTCCAGTTCTCTTACTTGTGTACCTTCATTACCTTGGGTAAATAATCCTCTCTGACCTGATTTTCTCATCTGCAAAATGGGTTTCAACTCGAAGTCCATTCTACATCTGACTTACATCAAACATATGTAGGTTAAATTGTATGTGTATGGAGGTGGATGTGGCTTCTTATATTTTGTAAGAAAAAGAAAAATATGGGCTGTTCTCATAGTATAATACTATAAGTTTGTTTCAAGGCCAGGGAACTACATGACCACAAGACCAAAGAAACATTGGTGGAGAATCTAGAAAACTAAGAAAACTTGGCGAATGTGAAACCATGAATTTCCAGAAATACTGGGGTCTGCCTTCATTTTGTTTCCATGTGATATTTTTACTTCCTCAGAAGCATCTGGATTGGGGGGGCCTGGGTGGTTTTGGAGTGTTCATTAAAAACCAAGTATAACAGTATCTTTTTCAGGGCTATCCTTAGGCAAAATATATGATTCTTTTTTTTTTCTTTTGCTAGTCCCAGTATTATTCTTTCATTCTTCATAGCTGCCCATCCCCGTACCAGGTAATAGAGGTATCTTCCCAGCACTTCTGAAATCACACCTACTTTTTTGGTCTGTACATAAAAACTGAACTCGCTCTTGACTTACCTATTCCACATGCTGCTATTCTCCCAGAACTCATAAACTATAAAGCGAGATTCATTTGAAAACTTCTGAATAGAAACACTGAATTAAAAAAGAAAAAATACAGTTAGCTGAAGGATTCAAAGAAACAAAACTATATCTGTATGTATCATAATCATAGTTCACATATTTAGCATACAAAAATCTTGTCAGTGTAAGGTAGTATTCCCATTTTATATGTGTGGAAACAGGTTTACGGAAGGGAATGATCTCAACCATGGTATGTGGATGAAAAAATACTCAGTTTAAAAAATTGTTCCAGATACCTGTATGATGTTTTTTTTTTAACTTGAATTTTTCTGTTTTCTTTTGGGATCGGGTAGACACAGCCTGTAGAAGCAATATGTGGTGTGGAGGGCAGGCTTTAGTGTCCTGATGACCTGAGTCCTGCATCTGACATCCTACCTATGTGACCAGGGGACTAAAGTACTTAATTGCTTAGAACCCCGGTAAACTCTTGAAGATTATAAATTACAGAAAAGTTGCCAATACACTTCTGTGGAGGGAATATTACACATGAAATTGCAGGTCAGGAGAAATGAATCACAACTTTGCAGAGACCAGACATGGTAGTTTTTAGACTTAAAATTGTTAAGTTTAAATTATTGAAAGGTAGCCTAGACTAGACAGGAAACCAACTTAAATTGGAAGAATTGGAGCTTCTCTGTTGGAGAATTGACTACCTTGTTTTGAGTCAGACTTGAGCAATTTAGGGACAAATGGCATTATCTTTGTTCATTAGGTATAGTGATGTGTTTACAGAGGCTGACTCAAATCTTAAGGTTGGCTTTTGTTCCTATTATGGAAACACTGTGATAGTGATTCTGTCTGAAGAAGACAGTTATCATGATTTTTAAAAATTGTCCTGGATCCTAAGTTTTAAAATTGGCCTCAGTGCAATATAATTGTCTGGAAGACAACATTCCCCCTAAATTTTAAATACATAGCTTCCTACCTCCATTTTCATGAGTTGCAAATACACAATCTTCAAGGCAAGTGAAAGCTGCTTGTTTCTAGTTCACTGATCAGTTCTTAGTATACAATAATCATCAGTAAAGAGATATAAACAATTAAAAGCTGTAAAATCCTGAAGTTGGAAGCATCTGATGGCATAAATACACATGTTTATAATTAGGGTACAATTTATATATGCTCAAATGGGTTTAACTCATGGATGTGAGTATTCCAGCCAGTAATGCAGAGAATAACCCATCTAGTGTGACTTGATAGTCAAGAAACATTTATTCAGCATTCATTAGATATAAGGAAGGCATTGTACTATCTGCTGTACATGCAAAAATGAATTAGACATGAACCCTGCCCTCAAGAAGCTTACAATCTAGCTCTATAAATTTGGCTAATAAAATTTATAAATTAGCCAATAAAGTTAAAATTTAGCCAGTAAAATCTTAAAAAAAAACAAAAAACAAAACATTAAGCATCTGCTATGTACCAGGCACTGTGCTGGGTGCTGGGGACATAAAGACTGAAATAATACCTACTCTCAAGGAGCTTATGTTCAATGGAAATGTGGTTTTTAGATCTGGAATGATGTAACTGAGTCTGTCACTTTATAGTTGAAAGTCCAGAGGTAAATGACTTGTCTGAGATCAAACATCGCCAAACTACAGAATCTCAAGAGTTGGAATGGACCTCAGAAATCATCTAATCCAAACCATACCTGGCTAAGCTTCCCTTCTGGGGCAGCTAGATGGTCCAGTGGATAGTATTGGGTCTGGAGTCAGGAAGACCTCAGTTCAAATCTGGCCTCAGATACTTATTAGCTATGTGACCTTGAGCAAATCACTTAATCCTATTTGCCTCAGTTTCCTCACCTGGAAAATGAGCTGGAGAAGGAAACTGCAAATTACTCCAGTATCTTTGCCAAGAAAACCCTAAATGGGGTCACGAAGAATTGGACATGACTGAGCAACAAGAGTCCCCTCTAGGACATCCCTGATTAGTGGTCATCCAGCCTTCTCTTAAAATTGTTTTGGAGATCTTAGGCTAGAACTTATAAGTCCAAACTCCTAATTAGTGCTCTTTTTACTTATACCTCGTTGACTCACACTATTTTAGTAATAGCACTATTGGTGAAGAGTTGTAGTGATAAAGATCTCAGAAACTTTTTAATCAATGTAAAAATAAAATGTCTGGGGATGTGTTTTAGGATATGTATTCCTGCTGCCTCACCTCTAACACATTGTCCTGCAAGATAACATTAACTCTGAAACTCGATGTCCTCAGTACCCTCTGCCCCTGGGATCCCTTTCTCCCTGTGATTGGAGAGGGTTCAAGTTGGACAGTGGAGAGCTCTCCCAGATTCTCCACTTAAAGAGGACAGCCATCATTTCCCAGTGGGCTGCACTCCTCTTGGTCTTTTGTCATGTTCTCTCCTGCATCCCCTAATCTTCACCCCATTCTGCTGCTTTTTTATGAGTTGTGTTCCCCCATTAGACCGTGTGCTCTTTGGGGGCAGGGACTGTCTATTGTCTTAGCACAGTGCCTGGCACATAGCAGGCGCTTACTCAATATTTATAGACTGATTGACTCTATTGGGTACACCCTCATTTTCATTCGGGGGAGTTTTGGGAGTGGGGTAGAGGTTCCCAGAAAGACCCTTGATAGATACCTCTGCCTCTCTTGGTTTGATTCCCTCCTCAGGAAAAAAAAGGAGCTGTTTTCTGGCAGACCTCGAGACTTCAGGAGGTACAGCCTTCCTCACAGTTTAGTCTAAGCCTTGGTCCCTTTACTTGAAACAAGATCCTCCTCCTCCTCCTCCTCTTCTTCTTCTGCTATCACCACCATTGTTCCATCCCAAGGAGACCAGAACTTCTAAACTGCTCTTAGCTTAAGATGATTCTTATTAAAACTATTTTTGTACCCAAATGACCTGTTAATCAAGGCTATCACTTTACACTTACTACACCCTCATTTAATTTTATTTAAAATACAATATTTAGGAACATCAAAGTGGTGTCATGGAAAGAGCAGTGTCTGGAGAGCTGGCAGAGCAAGGCCCAATCCAGTATCTGCCCCTTGACTAGCTGTGTGACTACTTCACATCTTCAAGGCTTAATTTCATTTTCTGTGAAATGAGAATAGTTAGACTTGCATTTTGGGTAGTTATAAAGAAAATGATAACATTTTGTCATATAAATGTGAGTTATGTATTACTCAAATGATGTCTTTCACCATCAAGATTAATATACATAGATTTCCAATTTTTGGAAATTTTGTATAAGTGGTTTGAACAATGCAAAAATGATTATGTTGTAACATGTACATCATTGATGTGCTTAATTAGGAAATGCAAACACTTTTATCTTGCAGTTTAAAATATTAAAATATTTTTGGGTGTCAGTTGTCAGTGAAACTTTTTTTCCATCTGCAGTATGATACTCATTATTTGAAATTTAGGTCATTGAACACAATTCTATAAATTGAATATCTAATAATGTTTACTTTTAAGACTTAGGGAAATGTTTCTTATCCAAAGGAGCTCATATTTTTCTAAACATGAGCTAAGTGTGAATGGTAGTTGGGTAGTTGGGAACTGTAGTTCTTTTACTATTGTCCTAGGGAGACAACTTCTGTTTTATAGGTGCCCTCAATTGGAGGACAAGTGAGTGTCTTTAAAAGGAAATCATGTACTGATTTATTCTAATTGGGAGACAGACTGAATCGTTGAGAAAATAACAAAGACTATTTCAGGAAACTAGAGTGTGCACATTCCTACAGAGACTTTCCTTAATTTTCAGATTAGTAAACCTAGGCACTATTTATGATCTACATGACCTTGAGCCTTAGTTTCTTCTTTAAAATAGGAACATCAGATTGTTGTTCCAGCCTTTCAGTCATGTCCTCCTCTTTGTGACCCCTTTTGGGGTTCTCTTGGGAAAGATAACAGAGTAGTTTGCCATTTTTTTCTCCAATTCATTTTACATATCAAGGAAACTGAGGCAAATAGCATCAAGTGATTTGCACAGGAGATTGGATTAGATAAACTCAAAGATCCGTTTTCATTATGAGTTTTTTTTTAAAATAAAGTGATTTATCTAAAAGTGACCACTAGGTGACACTATGATACACATAAGTTTTAGATTTAGAGACATCTCCCTCCCAAATGGTCACACGGACCATACACACTGTACATTGACCCCAATATAGTGATGTCATTTTGATCCTCTGAATATGAAGGACAATAACCAACCAACCACTTTTTCTTTTACTACTTTTGCCCAGTTATTTCTGTTCTATAGGTTTTACCTTTACATATCTGTATCTATATATCTTTTCCCATAGGCAAATCTAGTATAAGTCAGCCAGGAAAGATGTAACAAAAGGCTCAGATTTACCAGGGAGAGAGCCTTATCAAGTTATTTACTATTCTTATGAAAATTTCATTCCATTTAGTCTTCATTGTTTTACTCATTTGGTTCATCATAGGATTCAGAGTTGTAAATGACCTTAGTCATCGTTGACACCAACACTCACATTTGGCAGATGACAAGCAGAGTGTGGTGAAAAGAACACTAGATGTAGCATCAAGAAAACTTGGCTTTAAATCCCAGTTCTGCCACTCGTGTTACCTTGGGCAAATTCCTAAACCTCCTTGGCCCCCAGTTACTCATTTAGAGTCCCTTCTAATTCTAAATCTGTGATTCTGTTACAATCAGAAAAGTAAATGAGTGGAAAGAACGCTGAACTTGGAGTCAGATGAGACCTGTATTCCAATCTTTCCTCTGACACTTATAAAATGGGGATATCTATAGAAAGCATTTCACTACACACTATACTATACACTATATACTATAAAGATAAAATGAGATAATGATGTAAAGCAGCAGTTTTCAAACATTGTGGTCTGAGAACTCCTTTTCATTCTTAAAAATTATTGAGACCCCTTCCCTCAAAGAACTTTTGTTTATGTGGATTGTATCTATTAATGTTTACCATAATAAAAATTAAACATCTTAGTGTTGTTATGAAGAAAGTTTTGACATCATGGATGCCTCGGGGGATAGTGCTTTAATACATATATTATGTCATTTGATCCATACAATAACCTGGGAGGTAAGTTCTTGTTTTATTGTTATCCTCATTTTATAGATGAGGAAACTGAGGCTAAGAGAGGTTTAAGTGACCTGTCCAGAATCACAAAGCTAGTAAGTGTCTGGGCAGGATCTGAATGCAGATCTTCCAGATTCTAAGTCCATTGCTGTATTACTGTGAAGAACAATAATTTATAGTCATTATGATGGTATTGACTCACCAAGAAAAGGTTAAATGTGTGATAGAAAAATGTACATCCATAATGGCTCAGAACTCTAAGGATCATCTTATAGCTATTTGGAAACTTTACTTACCTGGAAATTCCAAGCTTTTGTTCATGCACCTACCTTAGCTTTTAATTCCTTTTCTCCTCAGACCTAACTTAAGACTCAGCAACATCTTTGAGTTATCAAGGTAGTTACTTTGGGTTCTGTACTTAAGGGGGCCCCCACGCTGCTAGCAGTGGGGCAGTGACTTAGCAAGGAGAGAAGAAAGTGGTTGGTACTAAAAAGACTTAAGACTCTTAAAAATGCAATCAGCCTACTAAAAGGGAAGGGGAAAGTGAAGATAAAGCAGATACATGGCAAAGGATGGGATTCATAGCTATGTAAAGGCACCCTAATCAGCAGTCAAGAATGGGCCAATCATGTGAAGTGAATTAGACTAAAGCTGATGTCATTAGTGACCATCAAGAGAACTAATCAAATGGTACAAGTGGAAAATTGAGTTTGAATAGGCTGATTAGTATTCTTTCTGGTTCAGGTTCCATTTCTCTGAAGTTCAGTTTCTGACAGTTGGCTATTTTGGGATAGTCATGATAAAAGTAAGAAATGAGTAAAAGCTCTACCAATCAAAAAGGAGTGAAGAACCACTAACAATCATACTTGTCCTGCTAAAGAAGAGGACAGGCTAAAAAATTGAAATTTTCAAATTCTAGAATCGCTGAATTTCAGAGTTGAAAGGAACCTTAGCAGTTATTTAATCTAGTTCATATTTGGTTAAGAGTCCTTTCTGCAACAAACCCAGTAAGTAAACATTCTTCACTTGAAGACTTCCAGTGAGAAAGGACCTTTTACCTCCCAAAACTAGCCCATTCCACTCTATTAAAGGGAAGACATTCTATCCATCATTTTATTTGATGCATGAAATAAGCTTCCATTTCTTTATGTTTAAGGGGCAGCTGGGTGGTGCAGTGGATAGAGCACCAGCCCTGAAGTCAGGAGGACCTGAGTTCAAATCTGGCCTCAGACCAAACACTTGACACTTACTAGCTGCATGACCCTGGGCAAGTCACTTAACCCCAATTGCTTAGAGGAAAAAATCCATTTTGTGGTTATTGAAACCATAGAAGGACAAGAATTGCAATAGAAGCCATGTCTCTACTGCTACTTGATTCTAGTATCCTATAGAATTGTCCCTGTTAAAGTGTCATATACATGTCATTTATTATGATTATTATAATCTTGTGAAAGCAGTGTTTCAAGATTATTTCAGCAGCTATGTGTAGGGTGAATTCAAGTGACTGGATTATACAATTTCAAACTATATGTCATCCTTTCTCCATACACCTCTTGGTTTTTCATTCTTAAATGTTTCCCTTGGTTTCCCGTCATACAGTTCAATCCCCTTATCTCACAGATGAGGAAACTGAGGGTCGGAGAGGTTGTGATTTGCCTATGGTCACATAGCTGATAAATGAGAGCCAGGATTTTAAGTTGGGCCCTCGGATTTCAAATCTATCACTCTTTCTTTCAGTTGTTTGTTGTTCAGTCATTTTTCAGTTGTGTCCAACTCTTCTTCATGACCCCGTTTGGGGTTTTCTTGGCAGATACTGGAGTAGTTTGCCATTTCCTTTTCCAGCTCATTTTAAAGATGAGGAAACTGAGGCAAACGGTTAAGTGACTTGCCCAAGGTCAGATAGTGAGTGAGTGTCTGAGATCAGATTTGAGCTCAGGAGAATGAGTGTTGGTCTCTATCCATTGTGCCACTTAGCTGCCTTTCTACTGTACTCTTTCTATTAGACACCAATTCTACTTAACTCCAGTGCCTTCCCTCTGTTGATTATTTCCAAATTACTTTACATGTAGCTTATTTGCACATAGTTGTTTATATGTTGTCTCTCTCATTAGACTGTGAGCTTCTTGAGAGCTGGGGCCATCTTTTGCCTTTCATTGTATCCCTATAACGGAGCACGGTGTCTGGCACATAGTAGTGATAACTGACGGACACCAGCTAGAAAATTGTGAAGGGGGTAGTTGAGGGAATTTTACAAAATTTTTTTTGCAGTTCTTAGCAGTTGGAATCTTTACTGGGCCAGACTGCCAAGAGAACAGTTATGGCTGGGTACACTTGTGGTTGAGATATCCCACGTCTCCCAGGAACAGTTGGGTATCATTCCATCAGGCTTGGCAGAATGCATAGGTGGGACCTTGATGATCTCAAACCCTCTTCTCCTTTTCTTTCACCCAACCCTAAGTCCTGATCCACACCTGATTCCCTAAGCCTCACATTTCTAACAATGTGCAATTTATGATAAAATCAGGGCAGAGACCAAGGGCAGTGTAGCACATGTTTAGTTAAGAGCTTTAAGCAACAGGAGATAGAAGGCCTCGAGTTGTCAGCATGGCTTAAACATTGACTTTTCTAAGAACCCATTTAAAAAGATGTGCCTTTCATACACCTACCCTTATTGAGGATAAAAAGAAATACTTGGCATGCACTGTACGCCTCCCTGGTGTGTGATAGATTACTTACTATAGGCACCCACTCTGCGAGGAAGCACTTTCCACATACTGTTTCAGAGCCAGGTGGAATTCTTCCAAGTCTTCCTCTACCACAGACATCTGACGCTGAACAAGGAGGATATGCTGTGGGGTATTAAATCAGAACAATGGTTACATTAGCCTGTCCCACCCCTGCTTCCCATCCTTCCATGATGTCTGCTTCCAATCCCATGCTTGTTTGTCAATTAGCTGGGTAGTCTCATTTGTGATGATGTCCTGTCTATTGCTGGTGAATACCCCAACTTGTAAAATGGCACAAAAGCTATCACACACAGATGTACATATATATGTGTCTATATATATATATAGACACATATATACACACATGCTATATAATGCTTTTATATGTATATATTTATGTGTACATGTATTTATGTACATGCATACATACCTACATATACACACATAGATAGATATAGTTTTTACTTATATACAAGGTGCCCCAAAGCTTAAGTTAAGTTTTACTTATTTGACACTGCATTAAGACTTTTAGGACACTTTGTATAGCCTCCTTTTTTAATGCTTTTTTTTTTTTTTTTTTTTTTGGCCAGGCAGTCAGGGTTGTGACTTGCTCAGGGTCACACAGCTAGTAAGTATCAAGTGTCTGGGGGTGAATTTGAACTCAGGTCCTTCTGACCCTGGGGCCAGGTGCTCTATCCACTGTGCCACCTAGCTTCCTTTCCTAATGAATTTTGTCTCTGCATGTGAGTCATTCACCAAATCTGAGGGTGCCTACTCTGTGTATCATTTGTAAAACAACTTCAATTTCCCTTTTAGGTGGTTTGGGAAATTGAAGACTTTTTCAGGACTTTCCCGAAAGCGGGGGACCTCAGTCTGCATCTGTGACTGATTCCAGTTTCAAAGTCATTAGTCTGCACAGATAGGTTTGAAAAAAGTAAAGAAAAAAAAATTCTGTGTCTTTCTCAAAAATAAAAGCAAGGTCTTTATCACTACCTTCCCAATGGGGCTGTGGTTCTACAGAGCAGTCTTCATTTTCTCCACTATACACTGGTTGCTGGACTGACCTGTATTTTTAACTGTATAGTATGTTCTGCATCACTCAGACTTACCTACCAATGAGCAAAGAAAACTTTAAAATAAAAAAAGAAAATCATCAACCCCATAAAAATAATAAATCATAAAATAAATAAAGCTATTATGCCCAAAAGCTCTGAATTCAGGTCCCAGTGGCTATAACAGAGAAATTAACTAAAACCCCATCCATTTTTAATATAAGAAAAAGTGCTTTAGTGTATGTTGTAGCCACTGAGAGCATCTCAGTAAAGAGCACCACATGCTATAGACTGTCTAAAAAGAAAAAAAAAAGACTTGTTGAATACTTATGGAATTTTCTTAATCAGAAAATTCTCAAACCTATTTTACTAAATAATTAGTAATGCCAATTTATATAGTAGCCCCCGATAATAGACCCTATGCAAGGTAACATTGAGTTAGATTAGACAGCAAGGTGGTAGTGAGTAAGAGTGTTGGACTTGGGCTTAGGAAGAATCCTTCCTCAGATAGGTACTGTGGTGACCTTGGGCAAGTCACTCAACCTCTCTCAGCCTCAATTTCTTCATCTGTAAAATAGGAATAATAATAGCTCCCACCTCCCAGGCATGTTGTGAAGATAAAATGATGCATGTATAGCATTTTGCAAACCTTAAAGCACTATATAGGTGTTAGCTATTATTACATGAGGCCTGTGTTAAATGAAATTATCAATAGTTAAGAACTTGTTAAAGTCATCAGTATATTGAAATATTGATATTCCAGAATGGAGTTTAGTCCATGATAGTTTTTGTAGCAACATAGGACTATCATGTGAAGGCCTGCTTATCCCATATGTGCTGCTCAGGACAAGAATTACACATTTTTATTTTCTGTGACCCTTTCCTTCATTTCATTTAGTGCCTCCTTTCTCAGAGCCTATAGCTGGGTCTCTCCTGTCACTGAGGAAAGTGATTCAATAAATTATTTTTGTTGAGTTGTTTTTCAGTTGTGTCCAACTCTTCATGACCCCATTTGGGGTTTTCTTGGCAAAGATGTTGGAGTGGTTTGCCATTTCCTTCTCCAGCTCATTTTATAGATGAGGAACTGAGGCAAACAGGATTAAAGTGACTTGCTCAGGGTCACACAGCTAGTAAGTGTCTGAGGCCAGCTTGGAACTCACAAAAATGAGTATTCCTAATTCTAGGTCCAGCACTCTATCCAATGTGCCACCTAGTTGCCCAGGTTCAATAAATTACCTTGCACTAAAAATGTTATTCTGGGAATATTTTCATTTTAAATAAGATTTTGGTATAGATAATGTTTGACCCAGGGAGTAAATCTTTTAACAGTGCAATTACTTAAAGAAAGCATGGTGCAGCTATTTGGGGGGAGGGGAATATTAGGAAATCAAATAATACCATACAGGTGATGGCCTATTCTACCTATTGACAAGGCCACAATCCAACTTCTTTGAGTCCTAGGCATTCAGATTACCTTTTATCTGTTTTATTATCTTGCTCTCAACAGTGTGGGGAAAACAGTATATATTCAAAGACTTCTTGGGAGAAATAAATGAAACAGTGGCAACAAATCTTACAAACAGCACTTTTGCAATAGTAAGCTCTTATTTTTCTCAGCTATTATGTGGCTCAGCTGCTTGTGAACACAGAGAAAAATGAAAAAAATATATTTTTTCTGAATACATTCTTTTGTCTCACTCCTTAGCACTTCAAAACAAGACTCAATTTGGAAGGAAAAAACCTTATAACTTTTAGAAAATATATTGAATAAGATGTTGAAGATAAGATATAGTACCTACTTGGTCTTTAATCCATCATAATTATTTCTAAAAATTAAGCCATGAGATTTTTAGGTGAAGCAATCAGTGATGAATAATAGCAAACTAGTACTGAAGACATCCTGAAGACAATTCTGGTTGCTTTCATATTTCACAGTTAGCTGGGGTCACACTTGACTATTCATGCATCATCCCTCATTTTTACTACATGACTAGCCTCCTTTTCTGGTGATATATGCCCTTGATGATGTCTTTTTTTCCGCATTTCTCACATATAACTTGTGGTAGTCTGAACAACCTCTTTTTTTCTGGGCCTATTCTTTCTTGCAGTCAAAACTATCTCTGCTCTAGATAAGCCTTGTCCTTCTGCCTGGTAAACTCTTCTCTGGAATCCTCAAAATCTGAAATCTCTCATGCTGAAAACTTCCCTCTTTCTAACTAATTGGTGCCTAACATCTGATGAAAGCAGAGATAGGAAACCAGTCAGATGTATATGAATGACACCTTGTCCTTCCTTATAAAATTCATGCCCCCTTTCTGTAACACAAGACAACCAAAGTGTGTCCACACTAACTGAGAAGAAGTCAGACAGGCAACAACCATCTGTTGCTTACTATATGCCAGGCACTGTACTAAGGGGCATGGTGTCAAAGTCTGGAGAGTAAGATGCACAGTTGGGAGGGGAATGAAGCATAAGAAGCCTGGAAATTTTAACTGCATCTTTGTATCTTAGGATTTCATATAATAAAGTAGGTACAGATATGATTCAGTTTCTTCAAGAGTATATCAATTTGTTTGTTGGAAAAAGGCCTCATATTTAATATACTAATAATTAGTGTTTGCCGATGATCAAAAAAGGGCAGGTAGGTGGTCCAGTAGAGCATTTGAGTCCAGCTTCAAACACTAACTAGCTGTGTGACCCTGGGCAAGTCACTTAACCCTCTTTGCCTTAGTTCCTTATCTATTAAATGAGCTAGAGAAGGAAATGGCAAACCACTCCACTATCTTTGCCAAGAAAACCCCAAATGGGGCCATGAAGAGCTGGACAAGACTGAAATGATTCAACAACACCAACAATGGTCAAAAATTAAAGATCTTTTTAGTACCCTTTTCTAACTTCTCTGCCACTCCATCATTAGAGGTGGAATGGAGCCATGCAGATATGGAAGCCATTTTCTTTTTTTTTGTTTTATGGGTCACAATCACCTGGTGGTGGCCAACCTGTTGGTAATGAACCTCTCTGTGCTCAGCTGTGCTGGTCTTTGAGTAGCAAGCGCAGTCTGTACCCATTACCACATTTGAAATCTTTCTAGCTTAGGAGGAACTGCCAGAATTCCTATTCCACTGACATTGACTTTCAGAACCCAGTTTTGACTCACCATAGTGAAACAACAAAGTAGAATTTTTGTGGACAAGGTAATTTCCATCCTGAAAAAGTTTTAAATTAAATGTTCTGCATTTAAAGTGTTCTGCCTTTGCTTTTTAAATGATTAATATTTGGCCTTCCCCAGGCTTCCAGTTGCAGTAATGCCACACCAAGTGTTTATAGTATTAAAAAAGAAGTCATCTGGAACCGATGCTCCTCTGAATTTTCAAGGTTCCCTGGCTCTGGAATACATGCACAGCTCAGTCAATTTGAGCTTAAAAGGGCAACTTTTAACATTTATGTGGCTATTTAAAAGGTATCTTGGTCTGACAGGGCCCTCTTTTATTTCACAGGAGGGTTCATGGGTGTGAAAGCTACACTTGGAGAAAGTGGCAGCAAAGAACCTGACATTTATTGGCGAGTAAGTAGGAGGATCAGTTTCATTTTGTAATTGGACCCCAGGTCTGCTATTCTTGGAATATGGATAAAAAGCAGAATGTAACTTCCATGAGGGTAAGGCCTACCTCACTTTTCCTATTTGTATTCCCAGCACCTTGTGCAGTACCTGGAATATTACCTGGCTCTTAATAAATTCTTATTGATTGACTGATTGACTTTTCTAGTGATCAAGAGAAGCTAGAAAGTCAAAAGAAGAAAAAGCAGACACATTCACACACAAAATGGAGATTAGGATAACCAAGAGAAATACTCAGATAGAAAACCAGTCTTTAAAACAGGGATTCTTAACCTTCTTGTGTGTCACAGCACAAATTGTCAATTTCAGAATGTTTTTAAATGTATAAAAATAAAATACATAGGATTACAAAGGAACCCAATTATATTAAAATACAGTATCAAAATATTGGGGAAAATGTTCAAGAGGCCCCAGGTAAAGAATGCCTGCTTTAAAAGAAGGAAAAAATCAGAATGGAGAAATAGGAGGAGAATTGTCCTCATGGTGGCGGTGGTGGTGGAGGAGGAACAACAGAGAAGAAGCACCTGACATTTTATTCTTTCTGTATCTTATATCCATCCTGGTTACAGCAGGACACAGTAAGGAAGACAGAAAAGCTGATTTTTAAAAATTGATGACTAAACTCTGAAAAACTGAAAAAGTAAACGCCTTAGTTGAAAAGAAGGAAGAGACCCCATTTTTTTTCCATTAAGCATTTCCTACATTGTGTGGATTTTTCATAACCCTTTTCAAGAACCTCTCTGTCCTCTAGCACCTCCACTGGGCTTTGCCCTTTCATTTACTTGTCTTTTATATCTCTTCTCATCTCATTCAGGATCCAGGAACAAGGCTGGATAGCTATGAGTCCATAGCTTCCTGCTAAGGCTTTGTAGCTGGATAACATATTGTGGCTTAAACAGCCCACAGTTCTCCCTTCCCCAGGCTCCCAGTTTCAATATTTCCTTAACTAAACAGGATGAAAGTTCATCCTCCTCTGTAATAATCCTGGAGATGCTATTTACACAGAACACTTCAGGGACTCCACCATCTTGTTTTGGTGAGTGGAGCTAATTTGGCTGAATCTCACAGGATTTCCTAACGAGGCACTTAAATATCACCTCCATCCCCAATCCCCAACTAACTCTAAACGTGATTCTTGTACCTTCCAAAGCACACAGCTATGTTATGGTGCTGTATGCATGGAATCTGGAAAAATTAAGCCTTCTGCTACAAAGTAGTGTCCCACAACACTGAAAAACAAGGCTGTAGGATGTTGACTTCATTACTAGTCATACAACCCCACTGTGACTATTTGACCCGTGTTTACTTAGACATTAACAATGGGAAACTAGTGTGTGAGACCCAGATGGCTCAGATGATATAGCCACCTAAGACCCTAGTGTTCTTGCATTTGGGGGTCCTGAAGGCACAGTACCCTAGTGAAAATACTTTAACATAATTGAATATATTTTATAATATATATTTTATGTATTTTTTATTTTATAACTACAAAAAATTATTCTGAGAAGGGATATACAAAATTCAACAGACTGTTCAGTGGGTCCATCATACAAAAAAGGTTAAGAACTTCTGGGTTTAAAAACACGACCTCTGGAGTTTCTTTTAACTTTACGTTTTTTTGGTTCTTTCATCTGTCTTTCGAGCTCTCTGCATGAAATGGTGCCATCCTGGCTGGACGACTTCACTTCACTAGGCATATAAATTGTTTCCTCTTCATTCACATGCTCTTCCACAGGTCAGCCTTTAGTAATAACTACTTAAGGAGGCACAGATGAAATGAACATGTTTCAGATTTATAGCTCACGCCCTCTTCCAATCTTGTTTTATACTGAGACAAACAAGTTCATGGGAATCAGTTAAGTCATGCATGCAAAGTAAATGTTTGTACCATTTCTTGAATTGAAAATAGTGTACTTACTGATTTAGTATTTCCTTCACAAATTTCTTCCTCCAGAGGCTCAAGCTTTAGATCCTTATGGTTAGGAGGAAGAAAAAAAATGACATGGCACAGAGGATTAGCATTTAAATAAAAAGAATAAGATTATACATTTGAAAAATCTTTGGGGAGTCAATGCTGCTACTTGTTTCTGGATTTCTTCCTGACCTGTCAGCAAGGAGGTACAGTAGATAGAGCTCTGAGCGTGGAGTCAGGAAGATCTGAGTTTAAATCTGGCCTCAGGCACTTACTAGCTGTGTGATCCTGGGCAAGTCACTTAAACCCTGTTTTCCTCAGTTTCCTCATCTGTAAAATAAGCTAGAGAAGGAAATGCAAACTATTTCAGTATCTGTGCCACTAACCCCCCAACTAAGGTCACATGGAGTCAGACATGACTGAAAAATGACGGGCCAACAACAAGAAAGACAGACTGTCCTCAATTTCTAGAACTGATTCCCTCCAGGTTTCTTCCTTCTCTAGTTAGCTTAAGTGCCACCTTCTCCATGAAATCCTCCCTGATTCCCCAGCCTTTCATCCTTCTCTGGTTGACCTTTCTTTTGTACTTACCACATTTTAAATTGTATCATATATAACTTGTGTATATGTATCTCTCTACTAAATTATTAATTCCATGAGGGCAGGGAACTATGTACACCAGGGAGGTCAGGGAACCATGTATCAACAATACCTAGATCAGTCTACCATACATAGTAAGTACTTAATAAATGTTTCATGAAACAAAAGTCTTATAATCTCAAGATGTATGAAGAGAACTGGTATTAGGCTGTTGGAATGAGGAACTTTTCACTCGTTTATAAGCTAAAAGAAGATATTCCTTCACTAAAGTTTTCCAATGGCTCATCAGGGCATGCAGTTGACCCTAGGTTCTTAAAAGCTCTGTTAGCCAAGCACAAACTCAGGCAAAGTTATACACCTGCCAAAGAACTGTGGTCCAACAATCATCTTGTGCACTTGAATCTTGGAATCTAGAAATGAACAATAAATTGGACCTAAAATTGAATAGGAAAGTGGTCTGGATGTCCTTTAGAAACTGAACATTTCTTTTGATGACCCCAAACTATTCCATGAAACAGAGTTCTCTTTTAAATAACAATATTCTTCTGGTAATAGTATCTGGCTGCAAGTCATGGAATACTATACAAATTGATCTTGAAGGTCACCCAAAAGGCAATGGAAAGATACATAGTAAGTTTGAGTAGGTTGTGACACATTTTAAATGAAGCATGTCACCAAAAATATGAAATTGGGATGAAAATAGTTATATAGGGAAAGTGGGCGCATAGGGAGAGTGAGTGATAATTATTGAATGATCTATGGGGTCCATTGGTATCCATATGATGTTGAGACAGCTAGAGGAAGATGCCCAGTACATTGGTACATTCCCATTTGTGGATGCATAGGAAGATAGATACGAGAGTTGTATGTGGGATGAGAAGACACAAATAAATTGTAATCTATATTGTGTGAAGAAGTATCTAGATCAGTAAGATCACAGGTACATCAGAGCAAGTCTTGTATTTCATTCTGGTGTGATGTAGCCAAAACATTTGGCATCATGGCACCCAAGAGAGTGAGATGTACAAAGGTGCTCATGAGTGACCTGGTCCATGTAAACTTAAGGCTCAATTTCATTACATATAGCTGAGACTAGTAGCTGTTTCTGTGAAGACCAATTACGTCTTCATGGAATTATAGAATCTCAGAGTTGAAAGGGTCCTCTGTGGCTATGTAGTCCAACATGTACCTAAGTAGGAATACTTTCACAACATGCTAAGTGGTCCTTCTGCCTGTGCTTGGAGATTAGTGGGATAGAAGCAAGAAATGACTGATGACAACATATTGTATTGTAGAAAGGAAGTTTGGAAAGGTTCATTTTGTTCATCTGTGCAGTGTGAGGCCATAGCCTTAAGATGCAAGGGTCACAATAAATGCTCATTTGTGAGGAAAGATACCTTGTGTATCTTTTTAAAAAGGACTATCACAGTATGTGTTAAATATCAGCAAACAAGGTGAATCAGCATGTAAATAAAATATGCTCATTCACCACCAGAAAATCAAATAGCTTTTATGGAAAGGCCTGGTTTGGCATAGGACAAAATAAGGTGAAGGAAAAAATCTGAACGTGTACTGACATTCTTTCCAAGAGGTATCCAATACTGAGACCCACACAGCAAGAGACCCATGGCAGAAACCACTGCTTAATCTACTTTCTGCACATTTCCTGGATATATTTCTTAAATTTAAATTCTTAACAAAAGAACAAAAGACAAAGAAAATTTTAAAAATGTGAAGTACATGACAATATCAATTTATTTAAAGAATTAAAAAATTACAAAAAGAAGAAAACATTTCCTAGGTTAGAGGATTTTTTTTCTTAAGACAAGTATGTAATTTATTTTTAGGCACCAAAACAAAGGCAAGTTTGCAAAGATATTTATGCTCCTAAAATTAATGAAAATGCAGTAATATGTTGTATTTATTCTCTGGTCTGAAATGGGAAATGAAACATATTTCTGGCATTCTGAATTTCTATGTCTTCTAATACTAGAAAACAATTTCTGAAGCCTTAATTTGTTAGAATATTCTTAATTAGACATGGAGAGTGAACAAGTGATTAGCAGCAAGTTGTGGGTTAGATCCTTGCTCCAGCATGAGATAGATATGATTTCAACATGTGAGGGGTAGATGGGGATGCATCCTTTGGGCCATACTTTTTATGGCAGCTATGACAACTGACAATTCCCAAGGCTCACTTGTCAGGCCTGTGTTCTATTCTTTCAAAACTCCCTTCCTCAAAAATCTTGTTTATCCTTTTAGATTCAACTCTTAGCCATATGTAGTTGGGACTCCAAGGTGTATTGCTCATCTGGATCTCTCTTCTGAGCTCCTGTATTATATCTTTAACTGTCTACTATAAATTTCTGATTGGATAGCCTACTGTTATCCCAAACTCATACTAAGCTGTCATCTTTCTTCCCAAACCATCTATCTCTTCTGTATTGCCAGTTTCTGATATTAAGACCACCAATATCCTAATCATCTAGACTCATCAACTTAGATTCATATTTGATTCTTTCTGTTCCCTTGTCTCCATATCTAATCAATCACCGATTTCCATTGCTTATTTCTTCAAAATGTGCCCTTTCCTTTCTGTTCTCAAGGCTATGGCTATCAGTTCGCTCATATTGTTGTTTTTTTTTTTTTTTAACAGTCTTTGAGTGAGTCTTTCGCTTCCTACTTAAAAATATTTAATGGCTCCTCAGTACCTGATTCTTCATATTCTGGCCCCAATTATCCTCATCTCTTGCTACTCTAGAAAGTTAATCTTCCATACCAGCCAGACTTATTTATTCAGTGTCCTTTTTGTGCTTCTGAACCTTTACATTCATCTTCCTCTGGTCTGACCTAAACTTTAAACCCTTTTAAGGATCCTTATGCATAGTCAAACAAAACAAATTCCTACATTCGCTATGCCCAAAAATATATGAGTCATTCTGCCTCTTGAATCCATCAACTTTCTGTCCTGAGGTGAATAGTTTTTCATGTTATTCTATCTTACTTTTTCAAATAACATCTAAGCTCACTGAAGGCAGAGACCATGTACCAAACATGTTTGTATTCCTCCTCCCCCATTGCATTGTACACAAATACCTATAAATGATTGATTTATAAGTGACTGTTCTTGCTAGTAAAACTTATTGGAGGAGGCCATACTATGGCATGATAATATATTGTATATTCTGGTTTATAAAGATTTATTTTGACCTATTAATTAGATTCTCTTAGTACTTATCTGGAAACACATGAGCTGATTCTAATGACAGTTAAAACCTTTAAAAACCAAAGCCTTGGGGCAGCTAGGTGGCACAGTGGAGAGAGCACTGGCCCTGGACTCAAGTGGGCCTGAGTTCAAATCCGGTCTCAGACCAGATATTTGACACTTACTAGCTGTGTGACCCTGGGCAAGTCACTTAATCCCAATTGCCTTGCAAAAAACAAAAAACAAACAAAAAAAAACCACAACAAACCCTCCGCCCCTCAAAAAACCCCAAAAAACCCAAAGCCTAAACATGTCAATAACTGGGAAGTCTTTACTCTATCAATCTATGTAAAAAGTCATATATAAAGCAATTATATGTAATATTATATTGAAGAGAGATTTCTCCAAAGAAGGTCTTCCAAAGTAAGGTTTTGTTTGTGGATGACATGGTTCTTTTTGCATCAAGCCTGGGAATATGTCAGAGCCTCCAGGACAAGATCCAGAATAACTCAAGAATTTTGCCTAAAGCTATCCACTCAGGAAAATAAATTAGGTGAAGAGTGCCTGTTTTTCAGATTATAGTGTGCAGTTATATTGGCAGCTTATAAAGCTCATCCATCTGTATGTGTGTATGTGTGTATATACACACATGCATGCATGTGTATATACACATATACACATAGGTGTGCATGTGCATACATATATGTATACACATATGCATATGGCACATATGTACAAACATACAAATGGACAATGAATTGGAAGAGTAAAATGGGCTGGATTGTTTTTGGGAAATGGAAAAACGCTGTTAATGATCCTTTATTTCTCTTGGAAAAAAAATAAGTCCATCATTTTATAACCATATTTTACCAGTTTAGTATGGTTGTGAGTTAAGAATACTATAATCTTCTAAGATTCAAAATTAAGTTCTCTCAGAGGGAAATGGAGAGGTATATGGTAGTCATGATCAAAGTGTAACATATAAGAAATAAATGAAGACAAAGTACTGAAATAAAGGATGTCATAAAAGAAATGTTTGATGGGAAAAGAAGAGTTGATTTTATGGAACGAGAAAGGTGTACCTGTTGGATGACCCATGTGTATGCTCAGCAAGGAGAATATGTTGGGCAAAACCCCAGTGGCAGACTTATGCAAGGGCATGGGATCTGCAGGCATGGTTGGGCTACTATCTGTATTATGGTATGGAACAATGTAATTCCATTTGAATATTTGAAGCCTGCCTATCTTGTCCATATTCTTTCATGAACCTGCCACAGGGGTTTCACCCAACATGCTGAGGACCTTCCTTGCTTTGTCTTGAAAGTCACCTCTGGCAAGTCTTTTCACTTCTCTCAACCTCAGTTTTCTAATTGTAAAATGGGAATAATGATGATGATGATGATAGTCTTATCTTCCAGATTGTTGTGAGGATAAAAAAAATAGCATTTATTAAGCATTCCCTATGTGCTAAGCACTGTGCTGTGCTGGAAGTACAAATCCAAGTAGAAAGAAAGACGTGAAGGATTAAATGAAATAATGTCAAGTGTTTTGACAGATTTAAAGTGCTATGTAAATATTATTATTATTATTATTATTATTACTCAATGACAAACTAAGAAATAGGACCTCAGGCAGTGCACTGACTTTGTTTGACTCCCAACATAGCATTTGATTGAAAATACTATTATTTTTAGTAAATACATGTGTACATACACTCTGAGCGTCCTCAAATAAATCAGTGAGGGCCATACTACCCAGGTGGGCTGCCTTTCTAACAGTGCAATGATGAGCATTCAGGACAGAAAGCAAACACAAAAAGAAGTGGAAAGGATAAAAGGGAGTACTCACCTTCTTCTCCAGCCGATCAATTAGCTTTTGGAGTCTGTTTATCTGGGTCATCCACTGGTTGTCTTCCTCTAACAGGCCTTGGGGAAGATAAATCATGACGACAGTTTGCTACACATCTAAACTTGAAGCAGAGTAGCAATACTGAAAGACTTGAGAGTTTTTCTTTTATCTTGAAGGAAGAACTCAGTATATCTGACTAAGTTAATTTACTTTTTGTTGTTCATTTGCAGTCGTGTCTGACTCTTTGTGGCCCCATTTGAGATTTTCTTGGCAGAGATACTGGTGTGGTTTGCCATTTTCTTTTCCAACTCATTTTACACATGAGGAAACTGAGGCAAACAGGGTTAAGTGACTTGCCAAAAGTCACACAGCTACTAAGTGTTCAAGGCCCGATTTCAACTCAGATCTTCCTGACTCCCAGCCAGGTGCTCTATGCACTGTGCCACCTACCTGCCCTAAGTTAACTCAATAGTCCATATATAATTAGAATTGGAGGAGCACATGCTTGCTGGGTTATTCATTTTCCTGGGCACATTTCTCCTGTTGAGATAATTTCCGAGATTCTTTTATTCAAAACTGACTATATCAGATTTGAATTTTTCAGAGGGAAAGGGCAGAGTGGTGAGGAGCCTGGCAACATTGCCTAGGCAAGGACAAGTTGAAGGAAATGAGGATGACTTGGGGAGGCATGATAATAATCATTATAACTGGGAAGGATAAGGAGGATAGAGAACTGGATTAAGTCAAGAAACTGGGTTCAAATCCTGCCTTAGATGCTCACTAATTGTGTGACTCTGGACAAGTAAGTCCCTTAATAGTCTGTAATGTAGAAATTCCTTCAGGCACTAAACTGGGTCATTGGCATAGTGCATTTAAAAAAAATTCACAAGGCAAAGAATATAGAGATAGGATGAACATTTTTATTTCGAAGTAAAATTATAATTTTGCCATCAATAGATATGCCTGTCCCTTTAATGTTTATCCCCTCTGAGTCTCAGTTTACTCTTCTATAAAACTGGAATATAGCACTTACAGTATAAGATTAGACAATCCTTACGTAAATGGGAGCTATTGTTATCATTGTTAAGCATTTGAATACAGGAGGAATTATATTTGTTTTGCTTGGCCTACAAGCAGAGTGAGAGGAAATGGGTGGAAACTGAAGAAGCGAATTTATCCTTAATGTATGAAAAAACTTCTCAATAATTAGGACTACCTAATGGTGGATTGGGCTGCCCCCAAGAGTGGTGAGCTCCTTTTTTTACTGGAGTTATTCAAGAGAAGGCTTGATGATAATTTATTGGGAGTAATAATAATTAGTATTTATATATTGCTTTAAGGTTTGCAAATGCTCTACTTATGTTAACTCATTTGGTCCTCACAACAACCTTGTGAGGTAGATTCTATTATCATTCCCATTTTACAGGTGAGAAAACTTGACACTGAGAGAGGTTAAGTGATTTATCCCAGGTCACACAGCTAGGAATATTGTAGTTGAATTCTTGGTCAACTATAGGTTGATTGAGGTCCCTTCCGACTCAGAAATCCAGTGTTGTTGTTTAGTCATTTTTTAGTCACGTCCAACATTTTGTGATCCCATTTAAGGTTTTCTTGGTAAAGATATTGGAGTGGTGTGCCATTTCCTTCTCCAGCTCGTTTTACAAATGATGAAACTGAGGCAGAGTGAAGTGACTTGCCCTAGGTCACTCAGCTAGGTGTCTAAGGCCAGATTTGAACTCAGGAGGATGGGTCTTCCTGACTCCAAGCCTGGTTCTCTATCCATTACACCACCTAGCTGCCGTGCTATAAGCCTGGGGCTGATTATCATCCCTGCTTCTTCCTTCTCTCTTACTTGGGCTTCCCTGTCCCCATCTCCAGCTCATTGTTTGTTGACAGAACTTTAGGATCCTTTAGGATCCCTCTTTTCAGTCAGCATGGAACTGTAGATGCTTGGGATCCTCCCAAAGTACAAGACTGAGGTCACTCACCTTCTCTAGAGATGGCTCTACGCTCAGTATTTATTGCCTTATTCAGCTTCGTTTGTAGAACAACTGACTACTTGATAGAGAAAGTCAGAAATGCCACCTACTTTACCTGGGCCACTCGTGTGAAACTGAGGGCTGTTGGGAGAGAAGCTGCTGTGTCTCTGGACTCTGCGACTGGATCGTTTACCAGGCCATGGAATCGACAGGACTTCTGGTTTGGTTGGGCCTTGCCTTTAACAACAAAGAGAGAATGAATTTTGATGTTGACTTCACAGAATCACGAAGGTACCTTGGGGGTCTTCTAGCCCAACTCATCCCTCTAGCCTACCCCACCCTCCAAAAAAATTCCATTTATAATGTAATTGAAAAGTGGTCATACAGCCTTATGCCTGGGAACCCATGTCTTCCAAGGTAGCCCATCTCATTTTTAGACGCTCATAATTATTAGAGAGGTTTTTCTTACTTGAACCCTGAATTTGCTTCTTTGTGGTTCATACCTATTGATTTTAATTCTTCCTTCTGAAACTGAAGAAAAGGATTCTAATCCCTTTTCCACAGGTCGGCACTTCAAATACTTGTACACAACTTTCATGACCTCCTCTAGTTTTTCCCTGTTTAGGATAAACATCCTCAAAGCCTTCAGTTCTCAAAAATTATGAATTGGAAGCTCCTTTCCATTCTGACTGCCCTCATGGATACCCTAGATTATCAATGCCCTTTACAACTGTGATACCCAGAACATAATGCTCCAAATGGGATTTGACCAATTAGCTCCTTATTACTGGATTACTGGAAGCTATGCCTATCTTAGTTAATACCAGGATTACACCCCAGAATTATATTCATTTTATTTCAGTTGGTTGTTTTTGGCTCCTTGTTGCATTATTGACTCACATTAAGCCTATAGTACTGTCACCAAATCTCCAAGGTTTTTTTCAGATGAACTGCTGTCTAATATGATATATATATCATGTGCTGTCTCACCATCCTTCATCACCTTGTACCTGTGAGGTTGATTCTTTTTTTAACCAAGAGTAAGACTTTTCATTTATCCTTATTAAACCTTATCTTATTTGTTTCTGCTTAAAGTCCTAGCACATTAAAATCCTTTAGAAATCCAAACTTCTTTTTTTTATAAAATGACTAATATGGAAATATTTTATGTGTTTGCACATGTATAACCTCTATCTGATTACTTACCATGGTGATGTAGGAGAGGGGAAGCACAGAGAGAGGGAGGGATAGAATTTGGAACCTAAAGCTTAAAAAAAAATGTTAAAAATTGTTTTAATGTAATTGGGGGAAAATAAAATATATATAAAAAAGAAAAAAAGGAATACTAACTTTTTGAAAAATGTATTTTCTGGCTTCAATGACAGTGATTATCTGCTCAAGGGAAAAGAAGCCTGGAAAGAGAATTGCTTTTTTCTAAGTGGCCTCCAGAGACATAAGCGAAGGAACTGCATGTAGACCTAAGAGGCAAGATTCAGTGGTTTTGTTGAAAAATAAAGAAAAAAAACCTGATATCAAAGTTATTTACTAACTTATGACTAATGAAATAAAGAATCCACAATGTAATATATTACATGTATACATACATACATATATTATCATGAAATTGATGATAAAAACTGAATAATTACATAAGAACATGTTTATGTCATAGGAATTGGATCTGGAAGGGATCTTGAATCTTGGTTCAAGTATTCCATTTTACAGATGTGAAAACTGAGGAGGTGGACAGATAGAGAAGGAGACTTTCCAGAGACCACACAGGTGACCTGCCTCAAGCAGAAGAGCAATTATTCAAAGTGAGGTGTTCCTGGCTCTGGAGCCAGTGTTCTTTCTACTGTACCAATGCATTATCCTTGGTATAAATGCCCCTGATGCAGTTCAGTTTCAAACATTTAGGCTAAAGATGTGTACTGATTTTCTATGACCTCAGAAATTAATAAATTTCCTAGGAGTATTAATAGTTGCTGATACCAGTTACCAAAATATTCCTTTTATTGCTTTAAACTAAGGAAATAGAGCCTTACTTAGAGTACATGCATACATGCCCATACTCTGATTCCACACAAGCCCGTGTTAATGGAGCTGTTAGTGTCAAAAAAACAAGAACACCAATCTAAGCTAGGAAGTGATAAAGTGATCAATTCTATCCATTCCTTCCCCCTTATATTTGGGAAATTACAGTACATAAAAGAAGCTTCATTCAGATTTACTGATTTTTTAAAAAAAAATTTCTTGGTTATTTTTGTTGATTATATTAAATTTGTTGTTGTTGTTCAATCATTTCAGTTGTGTTTGACTCTTTGTGACCGTGTTTGGAGTTTTCTTGGCAGAGATACTTGAGTGTTTTGCCATTTCTTCCTCCAGCTCCTTTTCCAGATGACGAAACTGAGGCAGAGTTAAGTTACTTGTCCAGGGTCACACAGCTAGTAAGTGTCTAAGGCTGGATTTGAACTCAGGAAGATGAGTCTTCCTGGTTCCAAGTCCCGTACTCTATTCACTGTGCCACTTAGCTGCCCTTACATAAGACAAAAGAAGAAAAATTAGTCATCTTTGCTTCATTCCTTAACTCCTTGGAAAAGTTTTCAATGTTTCTAATGATGACCTATTTCAGTGATAATCGTACTTTAGCTTACTTTCATGTGGTACTATAATGTTAATATATCATCTCATTTGATCCTCATAGTTACCATGTGAGGTAAGTATTATTATTCTTTCCATTTTATATGTGAAGAAACTGAGGCACAGAAAAAGATATGTTACTTGCCCAGGGCTTATACAGCTAGGAAGTGACTGAAGCAGGATTCAAACCCAAGTCCCATGCTATATCCCTCATGCCATGCTTCTACCCTTTTCCATTTCCTTCAATATAAACTTTCTGAGTGATAAGTAATGCTCTTGTTTCTTTCTGATTGCTACAACTCAAAATTTACCACTCCTGAGACCGATACTTTTAGTCAAATTCATCTGGTAAAAAATCCTTTTATTTTCATTCCAGCCATGGTATTAACCACCATTAAAGACTGAAGGCTGGGAACCATCAAATAGATGTAGCCAGAAGAATAGTTCTCTCATTGCCAATGGCTTTGATCAAAAAGAGATTTTTTTTCTGTGTGTCAGGTGAATTTCTTGCTTTTGTTCTCCTTGTTTCCATGGGCCTTTCCACCTAAAATCTTTAGTCCCTGGGATTGTAGTTTTCAGGAAGGAATACAGACTTATTCTACATAACCAAATAGTTTGGGATGGCTCTTACTTCCAATTCCAGCTGTATTTGAGCCAGTGACCTCTAAAATGAAAGCTTCTACAAGTCATGAACGATACTCTAATCCTATTCATTTTCCCTGGACTTTTATTGTTTTATGTTCCTTCTCATTAAACACAGATGCTATGCAGCTGCTGGCAGTGATCAACGGAGAATGAACTCAAAGCCATTCCAGGGACTAAAACAAAGAAAAATGGTTGTTCCTTTAAAAAAAAATCTCTGCATGGTGTTTATTATGGAAAACAAATGTGCTGCAGGTAGCCACAGAAAATCAAGGCATTGGTGAATGGCCAGAGAGCCTGAGATGTAAAAATTGTTCTCTGCTACATGATTTGACTCTTAAAAAAGAACCCACTTTAGTTCCAGTAATACTAAACAAAAGAGACAATAGAACAAGCTTTATTTTCTCATTAGACAAATGAAATGTGTTTCATTGTGCCTTAAGATATTTTGTCTTCCGTTGCTGAGAGCAGAGAATTCGCTATTTTTGTTTTTCTAAAGCTATTTTGTATGCTTTGCTATTTGAAAAGGAAGCATGAGAGTAGCAGACTCCGAATCATTAAATAGCACCTTTTAAATGCTATTTTAATGCAGTGATGTTCTTTGCTTTCAATTTTGTCTTTGTCCATACACTTGACCATGGCATCCATCTTGCCTCCACATCAGTCATCCACTGGTGTATTACCTCACCATCACCTGGAACTGTTTCACTGAAATTCCCTGTGGTACACAACCTCCTTTCCTTCCACACTCTCACTTCTGCTGAACCTACTCTTTGCTTTCAGCACTAGGTCCTTTAACTCCTCCCGGTTTTCCCAGTCAATCCTTCCTGTCCTGGCCTCATTGCCTTAATACCCAATCATGAGCCTTTGGTCAGGTATTTAAATGAAGCAGTCACTCCCCTCTCCCCTCTTAAATTTCCTTCCCTTTTGTTCTGTGTTTCTTTCTCTGCTAAATCCTAACCCTGGGCAATCCCCAGTGAGATGCTAAGCAATGTGGGAGAAAACTAAGAAAATGTTAATTGTGCCTAATATAAATTTATGTTATCTAACCTCTGCTGTTCCCTCATCAGTCCTTTCATTTTTCTTTGATTAACTTCCTATACCATTCCTTGCAATGGCTCTTCTAAGACTTTTTCCCTGTCCTCAATCTCCAGTTCTACCACTGTTGCCTTTGCCCTCAGCTGATGGCTTTTGCTTCTTGTTTTACTGAGAACAAGGCCCTCTGATTGATGTGGTCTCAGGGTGCTAGGAACCCTGAAATGCAAGGGTACAGGGCGGGTCTGCCTTGAAAGAATTCGACCGCTCAAGCCTTCTTTCAGTCCAAATCAAGAGTTTATTATGGCACTGGTTATGTGGGTGAGATTCCTAGTAAGTTTGTGATTAATGGGGGTGAGAATGAAACTTTTATACAGAGAAAGGGATAAAGGGTCAGTGAAAAGATCTTGATAGGATTAAGGAGTGGCAAGTAGCCTGGGGTAGTGTGGAGGTAACAGAAAATGAAGGGCTGGGTTGGGCTCCGTGTGTGTGTGTGTGTGTGTGTGTGTGTGTGTGTGTGAGTGTGTGTGTGTGTGTGTGTGTGTGTGGTCATAATGAAAGGACAGTTGAAAGGATTATACTGGGATGGGCCTCATGGGATCCCCAGGCAAATGCCAGGGATCTGAGCTGCTGAAATTTGTGGGAAAGTTCAAGGACCCTTTTTTAGGGGTCCCATTGCTCCATCAGCCCCATCATGATGAGAACTTTTCCAACTTCCCTCCTATATACCTCAATGCCATTCAAGGTCTTCACTCATCATTTCCTCTTCCCCTTATGTCTCAGAGGGAGAGGTAGCTCTCCTCCTTGCCAAGCCTAACCCTGACAATTGTGCCCCTGATACCATTCCTATCATTTCCCATTTCTTTGTATATTCATTCTCTCCCTCTCCATTGGTTTCTTTTTCTCCACTCAAAAATATAATCAGATCTCACCCTAACTGGTTAACAAGTCACAAGCATTTATTAAGCATGTACTGTGCCAGGCACAGTGCTAAACCCTGGAGATTAAGCATAAGGAGAGGTAAAAACACAATCCCTGCCTTCACAGGACTCACATTCTAATGGGAAAGAAAACATGCGAACATCTATATATAAACATAATATATACAGCATAAAGGGAAGGTAATCACAGAGGGAAGGTCCTAGAAGCAAGGAAGAGGTGGGGTACAGATTGCAGAAGGCTTCTTGGAGAAGATGGGATTCCTGGTGAGTTTTGAAGGAAACCAAGAATTCATGAAAGTAGAGGTGAAGAGGGAGAGCATTGTAGGGTATGAATGTATGTGTGTGAGTGAGTGTGAGTGAGTGTGTGTGTGTGTGTGTGAGTGTGTGTGTATGTGATATCCAGTGAAAAGGCACACAGCTATGAGGTGGTGCAGTGTGAAAAAGCAGCAAAGAGGTCAGTGTTGCTGGATCACAGAGAACATAGAAAAGAGTAAAATATAAGGAGCCTAGAAAAGGTAGGAAGGAACCAGGTCATGGCAGGCTTTAAGAACCAAACAAAACTATTTAGACTTGCTCCTAGAAATCATAGGGAGCCATTGGAATTTACTGAGTTCAGAGGTGACATGGTCAGACCCATGCTTTCAGAAAATCACTCTAGTAACTTGAAGGGAGGTGGATTGAAGTGGGGAGAAACCTGAGGTTCTATCTTAAACAAAACAAAAAACTGATATTATTGCCCTCTAAAACTGTTGTCCTAAATTGAGGGGATGTGCGTCAATTAGGGAATGGCTGAACAAGTTGTTGTATATGACTGTGATGGAATTCTCCTCTGAGAAAAACCTGGAAAGATGTACGTGAATTTATACAAAGTGAAATGAGCAGAACCAGGAGAACATTGTGCACAGTAACAGTAATAATGTATGATGATCAACTGTGAATGACTTAGCTATTCTCAGCAATGCAGTGATCCAAGATAATTCCAAAGGCCTTAGGATGAAAAATGCTATCCATCTCCAGAGAGAGAATGGAAGGAGTCTGAATGCAGATTGAAACATACTTTTTCTCTGCTTTATTTTTCTTCTTGTTTTTGGTCTCTGTTTTTTGTTTCACAACATAACTAATGTGGAAATATGTTTTACATGACTATACATGTGTAACCTGTATCAAACTGTTTACTTTCTCAATGAGAGGGGAAGGAGAGGGAGGGAAGGAGAGAATTTAGAACTCAAAATTAAAAAAATGTTAAAATTATTTTTTACATGTAATTGGGGAAAAATAAAATATTAAATCATAAAAAAAATCCTGTTGTCCTAGCTCTTCTTCCCTTCACCCTTAAGTTTCTAGAAAGCATGGTCCACTGCCTGATATATTTTCTTCCCCATGACTCCCTTACTCTTCAACCCTTTCCAATTTGACTTGGTAGTGATACAGCACAAGTTGTTTCCAAATCTTTTTTTGCAATGTTATAAATGATGCTGTTTTTATCAGTATATTTTAGGACTGCAAGCTCAATATTAATTAACAGTGTGATATGGAAATGAAGAAAAATAATAAGATCTTAAGCTATATTAAAAAAAGATATAACTTTCAGGAAGAAGGTGATCCTCCCACTGTATTCTTTTTTTGGTCAGATAACATCTGGAGTATTGTACTCAGTTCTGGTCACCAAAATTTAAGGAAGATATTGGTAAATTAGGATACATCAAGGGGAAAAGCAACCAGTATGGTGAAGAGTCTCGAGTTTATGCTATATGAATATTGGTTGAAGCGACTGGGGATGTTTAACCTGGAAAAGGTTAAACCTGAGGGAGAGGATGATAGTTATCTTTAATTATTTTAAAGGCTGTCACATGGAAAAGGGATTAGATTTGTTTTGCATTGTCTGGGAAGGCAGAATTAGGAGCAATGGGTGAAAGTGGTCAATTTAAGTTTAATGTCAGAAAAACAAATAAACAAACTTCCTGACAGAGCTAATCCTGAAGTGGAATGAATGGAATCAGAAAGCAATACATTTCCTGTAACTGGAGGTCTTCAGGCCAAAGCTGGAGGTATGTTATGGAGGGACTTCCTTACTATGAATAGATTGGCCTAAATAGTCATTGAGGCCCCATCTAAGTCTGATTCTGTGATGTGTGATGGGTTGAAAAATTGCACCTCAAACTAATCCATATAAGTATGTTTGGGGGAACATGCCAAGTGTTGGATTTTAATTCTGATGAACAACCTTTCCATCAGTCTTGTGTATACGTTTAAAACAATTGAGCAGTGAACAAAAATATCTAGCGAATGATAATACTATTTTTTTTCTTTTCTAAATCTCTTCCCACATTTACAGTGTTATTGCAATGATGACTTGGACAGCAATGACCCTTAGTAATGTTTTGGTTGAAACAGATTTGTATAATTAACCTTTCTCTTTGCTTTTTTTGTTGTTGTTGTTGTTTGGCCATCTTTCTTTTGCATATGAGCAAACGATTCTGACTTGACTACTTTGAGGCTCCATGATACCCATCTCTACTTGTCCTTTATTTTCTCTGTTCTTTTATATAACTGGGCCTACTTCATTCCCAACTCCCTCTGATTTATCTGAAAGACACCAAAAAGGAATGCCATTTAGGTGTTTTGGAGCTAGAGTTTGATGAAAGCAGTCCTCTGGTGTCCCACAATTTACCTTTCCTCATTTTTGTGCCTTGGCTATTTCTTTTCAAGCCCCCATAGCTCTCCACTGCTTCCCCTGTCCCTAAAGGCATTCTGAAGAAACGTTCTGCTTACCTTTCTTGGCGAGTTTGTTCCTCTGTGGTTTCCATGGCACACTCCAGGGAATTCTGCAGAGACTGCAGCTGGTTCAAGGTCTCCTTCAACAAAAACCTAGTTACAAACTGTTGCAAGTTGGAGGCCTCTTGGTAGTCCTAAAAATGACACAAGTAGATGAAGTAAGCATTTGGGGTGAAGGAAAAAAATAAAATGCATAGATTCCCACTCCTACAGCCTCTCCATCCTCTGACCACTCCTAGAAAGAAAGAGAAGACAGAAGGAGAGAAGAGGTAAGAAAGAAACAAGACTGGAATTGGTGGAAGATATGCTAGAGAAAGGAATGGAATAAAATGTTTTCCTGAAACAAAACAAAATGAAGCAAAAGCCAATGCTGAATTGTTTAACACTTTTACTTAGATTCATTGTACCTCAAGGCCTAGATATAGAATAAAATTTAGTGGAATTACAGAGGAAATATCTGCAGCAAAGAAGAAAAAAATTATCTGGAAAAAGATCCAATGTGACAGTTATTCATGACAAATTTAATTCATACGGACAGTCAAGTCATAAAGTGTGATAGGTCCCCTTTTCCATCTAAATGCAATCATACTCTCAGGAGCCGGCTTAATTCCCTTCTCATGTATCTATAGAAAGTAGCTCCTGATGCCAAAGAAAATTCTGTAGTGCATTATTAAGAATCTCAGTAAAAAGATGTTTGATATGACAAAGTTAAATGGCCTGCTAAGGTTGCATCTGTTCTCCATCCAGTCACCCAGACCAGTCTTACATAGTCTTCAGTGCAGCACCTTTGCCAATCAAAGTCTTCAGAGTAGGCAGAAATATTGAGACATGCTCAAAGAAGTGCCTAGGGACTTCTAGACACACAGACCCTTTCACTCTGCCTAGATTAGTCTGGACAGAGGAAAGCAGTCTTGCAGCTGCTATTGTCTGTGGTATTTATCTTTCTTTTCCCTCTATGAGCCAAGGAGAAACATAGAACAAGCATCCTGGTGCTCATCAAACTTATAGAGGTCACACTTGTCTAACTCCCTTTCACTCTTCCTCTTCTTGACATCCCTATTTTTGTCAGTAGTACTTCTATCTAGTCTCACCAGTTACCTTTGACCTCCTCCCTGTTCCTTGCTCCATTTCATGAATCACCATATCTAGTCTACTTTTCCTCTTCTCTGTTCCATTATATTACTGGACTTCCTTCATTCTCAACTCCCTCAAATTTATCAATCTTCCTTTTTTCCTTTCCATTTCCACTGCCACAAACCTAGTTCAGACCATCACACCTCTCACTTGTACTATTATAATAGTCCCTGAATATATGTCCCACAACCCCCCTTTCTTTCCCACCACATCCTTCCCTCCCCCCCCATTTCCATGTCTTTGCTGATTCCATTGCTGATACTTAGAATGCCCTGAAATCTTACTTCTCTTTCAAGATCAAGCTCCCATGCTACCGCCTATATGAAGCCTTATATGATCCTTCCTTCTTATGAACAGATATGGATCTCAGTTTTGCCAGGGAAAAGACCCATTTGATCACAGATTTAAACACAGAAATCAGTTTCATACTTAAAATGCACATGTTCTGAAGATTAGTTGTTTTCCTAACAGCTCAGACAGCACTTTTCTCTTTTAAGGTGATTTCTACACATCAAAGTAAAGTGGTTTTATTCCTTCAGTTGTCCATATTGCCTCTTCTCATTATTTAACTTCATTCAATCCCCTATCTTGGATCCATTTAAGATTAGGTTCATGTGTGTTGCAGGGGGTAGAAACCAAAGACGCTTTTCCTCATTAAATTGCTGTCAGGCTTGGCCAATAGCAAAAGCAGCAACAGTAACCACATCAACAAAATGAATAAAACAATTGCTAAATATTTTGAGTTATTTCAAAAGGTTTTTATTTCAGTTGAGCACTAAAGTGAGTGCAAGATTTAGAAAGGAAAAGAGGTATTACCTGTTAAAGCAATGGTTTGTGTGTATTTTGATGTCTTGCTATCTTGTATTATTCTGTGTTTGTTTTGTGATCTCATCAGCTCTCATGGATTTAATTACTATCTTTATGTCTATGATTCTCAAATCTACCTTTCCTGCCCCAAGCTCTCTGCTGACCTCCAATCTCACATCTCTAACTGCCTTTTAGACATCTTGAACTGGAGGTCCAACAGGCATCTTAAACCCAGTATGTCCAAAACAGAACTCATTATTTTTCTGTCTAAACCCTCCCCCTCTCCTACCTTCCCCATCACAGTAGAGGGCAACACCATCAAGTTCTCAACCTAGGAGTCATCCTGGATTCCTCACAATCCCTCACCCCCTATATCCAAGCTGTTTCCAAGGCCTTTCATTTTCATTTTTGCAACATCTTTTCTCCTTTGATGCTGACATCATTCTAGTGCAAGCCCTCATCACCTCATGTCTGGATTATTGCCATAATCTGCTGATAGGTCTCAAGTCTCTCTCTACCCCAGTCTATCCTCCATTCAGCCACCAAAGTGATTTTCCTAAAGCATATGTCTGATCATGTCATCTCTCCTGCCCCTGCACCCCACCCACAATAAGCTCCAGTGACTTCCTATTGCTTCCAGGAACAAATACAACATACCCTGTTTGTCATTAAAAGCTCTTCGTAACCTAGCCCCTTCCATCTTTCCAGTGTTCTTACCCCTTACTCTCTGACACATACTCTTCAGTCCAGTGACAGTAACCTCCTTGTTGTCCTATGAATAAGACACTACATCTCTTTGGTTCTGGGCTTTTTTGGTGGCTATTCCCTCTGCCTGGAGCGCTCTCCTTGCTCCATTTTACCTGCTGACTTCCCTGGCTTCCTTTAAGTTCCAACTGAAATTGCATCTACTACAGGAAGTCTTTCTCAACCCCTTAATTCTAGTGCCTTCCCTCTGTTAATTATTTCTTATTGTCCTGTATATATCTTGCTTTGTATATATTTATTTGCATACTGTCTCCCACATCAGATTGTAAGCTTCTTGAGGGCAGGGATTGTCTTTTGCCTCTTTTTGTATCATCAGCATTTAGCACAATACCTGGCACATAGTAGGTACTTACTATGTGTTTATTGATTGATAAATTATTTAAGAATTCAGTAAGCCAAATGATTTAAAGCAGAGCTTCTTATCCTTGGACCCAGGAACTTGTTTTAAAAATATTTTAATAACTGTATTTCAGTATAATTGGTTTCCTTTGTAATCTTCTGTATTTTGTTTTATGCATTTAAAAACACTATTCTGAGAAGATCCACAGGTCTCACAAGTTTGACGAAGAGGCCCATAACAACACCAAAAGGTTAAGAACCCGTGATGTAAAGTCTAACATCGAGGTTTGGCACATACTCAGACCACCTGAAATGGTCATCTCTTCTTAGGTGCTTGGGACCGGCTGGCTCATGCATGGCATTCTAACCACATCAGCCCACTGTGTGATGGAAAGCAGCATTTTTCTTTTGCCTATGTAGTTGGAACTCTCTGTGTCTCAAAAACCACCTGAAAGAGGTCAATCAAGCTTTTTCTTATATTGGGCTATTGAGGTAAAGGACTCATTCACTCATAGCAGGTAATCTCATGCAGTAAGGGAGGGAAGGACTTGAGGGCTACTTCCCTCCTCCTAACCTCTCTTAGGCCATGAGTCCCCAGTTTTAGTCAGTTTTATCTGTACTTTTTTCAGTTCTAGATGCACGTAATGGAATCTCCAACCTAGAACCTTGAGCCATGAGAATGTAGGAGCTTAGGAGGTTTTGAACTTGACTTGGTGGGTCTAATGCTATGTAGGAACTGAGTTAAACTACATGGTTAATGTATACTATACTTTTGCAGTGACATTCCTTTGTAAAAGCTATTCTGATATTAAATGGTTAAATAGAACTGGGATGGTAGGCCCTGGACCCCTCAAATTTGGGAAACACAATTAGGGGGCTCTAGTCAAATGTAGAGAACAAAGATTGCCCCAGCCTCATTAGGGTACTGGGGAACCCTGGGGGAGGGGGTGAAATACAACAAATCTGATCTTCAGAATGAGGCCAGAAAAAGCACTGTTACAAAAGGAACAAAGAAAGTGAAAAAAGACACTGTTTTAGTGGACTGAAATATCAGTCTGAGATAATAGATGGTTTCCCAGGCATGCTACACCATTCTTCCTGCCCTCAGGACAGAACACTCATTTTCATCCTCCTCACCCCCGTCAACTTCCACCCCTTTGGAAACTTCTCCCCACTATGGGTTCTGATAGCTGAGCTTTCATGTTATCTTTCACAGTATCAGGTCTCCACTGACACTTCTCTACCTTCACCACACTGTGTAACTCCTACCTCTCACTTTCCAGATCTCTTCACATATTATTTTCCTTTATTAGAATGTTAAGTTCATTAAGTAGTGGTGTATGATTGTAATGGAATATTGTTGTGCTATAAGAAATGACAAGCAGGATGATTTCAGAAAAACCTGGAAAGACTTACATGAACTGATGCAAAGTGAAGTGAGCAGAACCAGGAAAACATTGTACACAGTAACAGCAATATTGTACAATATGACTTAGCTATTCTCAGCAGTACAATGATCCAAGACAATTCCAAAGGACTCGTGATAAAAAATGTTCTCTGTCTCCAAAGAAAGAGCTTGTGGTCTTGGAATACAGACTGAAACATACTATCTTTCTTTCTTTCTTTCTTTCTTTCTTTCTTTCTTTCTTTCTTTCT